CATTTCCCTGCATCTAACCTAACAGCTCTTAAGTAAACAGATATGTTGCAAAGACTATCTGTTTTTTTCCAAGATAAAGCAAACATCCAGAAAAGCACCATGAAGTTCACTGACAAAGCAATATTTCTCATTCCCCTACATTCTGTGTTACCATATTTTTTTCCATTCATAACATGCCCCATTTATAAGAACCTCTCCCCTTTTCTAACCCCCAAATTAAGAAAACTTAGCTTTGAGTATTCAGCCTCCAGGCTCAGAACATTGGACGTTACACGATAAACAATTAACCCTGTAAAGTTTCCATATTTCCACGATTTTGCCAATTTTCACCCCACTTGTCCAAAAGAAATTATTACATAAATTATGATGAATGAAGGGTTGCTTAAATAGAAATGGACAATCCAGTTCTTAGTATCTAATTTCACTGCCACCAGGTTAGTGCAAAAAGCAATCACTCAGACTCCTGACAATCTGTCAATGAAAACTGGTCCGATGGTTGTCTTCAGAGGACAGGAGCCTTGTGGCTCAGTGGTTAAACCGCTGTACTGCAGCCAAAACTGTGCTCATGACCCAGGGTTCAATCCCAGGTAGCCCGCTCAAGGTTGACTCAGCCTTCTAGCCTTCTGAGGTTGGTAAAATGAGTACCCAGCTTGCTGGGCAGGCAATGTGTAGCCTGCATAATTAACTTGTAAACTGCCCAGAGAGTGCTTGAAGCGCTATGGGGTGATATATAAGCAGCAGGCTTTGCTTTGCTTTAGAACAGTGGTCCCCAACCTTGGGCCTCCAGATGTTCTTGGACTACCACTCCCCGAAGCCTTCACCACCACCTAGGCTGGCCAGGATTTCTGGGAGTTGAAGTCCAAAACAACTGGAGGCCCAAGGTTGGAGACCACTGCTTTAGAATATGTCTGTGTTCTGGTGTAGTGTGTGAGACTGTTGAGTATTTGTAGCTGTGGGACAAGGTGGGTTTTGTTTTTGTTCTTTTCAGGAGATTGGATGTTTCCTGTGATCAGGGTGTTCTTTTGTTATGGGTGTTTTGTTGTGGGGGGATGATCTGTCACTGTGATTGATGAGTGTTGTTGGCTAATCTTTTGCGTGAATTCCATTTATAATGAGGGGAGGAGTGAATACAAAACAACAGAAACATCTGTAATCTGAGGCAGTGATGCTAATTTAATTCAGACAGAGGGACTTTGCTGAAAGAGAGAAAATAATATTGTGCTAAACAGAAGAAAATAGAATTGATCCATTTAGGAAGGTGTGGACATAGATCTGTAAAACAAGGCCAAAAGAAAAAAATCAGAGGATCCTCCATCTGCAACCTAAACCAAAGTATGTTTATTTAAAAGCAGCTTCTATAGCTAAGTAAGACTTAGTAACTGCAATTGTATGAAGAACAAGCTGGAAAAAGAGATATAAGGTATTCAGATGAATTTATTCTACCTGATGCCAAGTTTCTTCACCCATCCTGGACAAGCATTCTGAGACACTGTAAGACATGATCCTCTGCATGCTTGAATCAGCAGACTAGTCTACAGGTGACCCCTACTATTCCAAGGAGAGAAACTAGAAATGGTTTCCATATGATCATTCCTCTATACCAGTGGTCCTCCACCTCAAGTCCCCAGATTTTCTTGGACTAAAATTTCCATAACTCTCCACCGCTACCTATGTTAACCAGGGCCTCTGGGAATCGTAGTCCAAGAATATCTGGGGACTCACAGTTGGGAACCACTGATTCACACAATCACTGTACCAAGCTGTGTAGATGAGTTCTGTGTCTTTGTGTAGAGCAGGGGTTGGCAACCTCTGGCTTTTAGATGTTGGACTGCAATTCTCATCAGCCTTTACCTGCAAAGCCAATGTTGCAGAATAACTGGAGTCCTGCTCAACATCTGGAGGGCTACAAGTTGCCCATCCCAGTTACCTCTTCATCTTTGTTGGATTTAAGCTTAACTACCACTGAAAATTTCTCCTCACACTTGTTCAAGAAAACTCCTTTGTTTTCAGGGTTTGGATGTTCAATTTTTAAAGCAAGTTTCTGAGCCATGAAAATGTTTCCGCTCTTTAATTTAAAAAAGGCAAACAGAGAAATATGTAGTGCCAAAAGATGGTCTTAACATGAATATTACAGCTCCTATGGAAGCTTCTCATTTATTTCACCTCACTGAGTTTCAGTCCTCAAATATTCTTCCATGGGTTCCAGATTAAGGATAACCAATCTTCAAAACTAAAATCAACACAAAATATTTGGTGTTGGTAATTACACAACAAACCAAAACATAAATAACTTAGATGATTTTCTAGGTCCATTTTGAGCATTTCTAAATGAAGACTTCCTAACTTGAAGTAAAGCTGCAAGACACATTCTTTGAACTGAACAGGATTTACTCCCAAGTTAGCACACTTGGGAGTAAATCAGGAGTACACATAAGAGTAGGTGACACATGTCTTTGTAGTTAAGACAGAAACATGGGAATCAGGAAAACCGGCTTCACTGAAAACGTAATATTGGACCTTGAGCACATCCCTTCACATTAATTTCCTCCAGCAAGGAAATGTAATTAAAAGTAGTCTCATACAGCAATATTGCTTTTTTTAGCATCTGGGTTGCTTTGAATGAAAATAGCTGTGCAGATAAAGGCTACACAATAGTGTTGTGACCATACATTACATTTCTTGTTATGTGCTGTCAAGTCAGAAGTGCCTTATAGTGACCAACAGGGTTTTCAAGTGAGGTATCAAGAGATGTTTCACCAGTCACACACAAACACACGCTGGCACCGCATATTTGCAGTACAATCCTGTATAAATTTACCTCGAAAGAAGCCCCACTTCTTTCCCAGTGGGATTTACTATCCAATGAATGTGATTATCTTGATCGGGGGGGCCCTCATTGAAAACCGATTAATCCCATAACAGGCTGTTTTTGTTCCATTTTGGGTTTTTTCTGGTCTGTAAGTCGATTCTCCGGCTGCAAGTCGAATCTAAATTTTGCGGCCAGAGAAGTCTGTAACTCGAAAAGTCTGTAAGTCAAGCCATCTGTAAGTCAAGGGTCCACTATATAAATTTACCTTGAAAGAAGCCCCACTTCTTTCCCAGTGGGATTTACTATCCAATAAATGGGATTATCTTGATCGGGGGGCCCTCACTACTCTAGTACATGCGCTCGTAATCTCGAGATTAGACCATTGTAATGAACTCTACGTGGGGCTGCCTTCGAGGCTGACGCGGAAACTTCAGATGGTCCAGAATGCGGCAGTCAGGCTCCTTAGTGGGGTGAGAAAACACCAACACATCTCCCCCACTCTGGCTGCTCTGCACTGGTTGCCCATTCGTTTCCGCGCCGACTTCAAAGTGCTAATGATCACTTATAAAGCCCGAAACGGTTTGGGACCTCAGTATTTGGCAGATAGTCTTCTTCCACCCAGATATACCCGAATCACCCGTCATCGCCAGCAGGGACGGCTGAGGGGTCTGATGCCGAGAGAGGCTCGGAAGGAAAAAACTAGAAAGGGGGCCTTCTCGGCAGTGGCCCCTCAGCTGTGGAATGCCCTTCCAACAGAAATTTGGCTGGCACCCTTGCTGGGTGCTTTTTAAAGCCAGTTAAAAACTTGGCTATTTAAGCAGGCCTTCCCTCCAGTCAGCTAAGTCTTTTCTCTCTCTCTCTCTCTTCTCTTCTTATTCTATCCCATCTTGGTACTCCTTTCTTAACTTAATTGTCTTAATATTGTAATTGAATTTATATATTTTTATATAGATTTATTTTATGTTGTAAGCCGCCCCGAGTAGACATGGTCTAGAGGGGCGGGGTATAAATTTAATAAATAAATAAATAAAATAAATTAGGATTGCAACTGTAATGATTACAGTTATCTTCTTAAATATTTGAACATGCAGTCATCATATACAGTACAATGCACAACACATGATGGAGTTTTGACTCTCAACTCACATTATAAACCCTGTTTACACATAAAGTAACAGGTCTATGTCTCTAACTGTTATTATTACTCCTTGCAGCACATTCGATGCAAATCATAACCAGCATCAAACTCGGAAGTGAATTCTTAGCCATTTGGTCCTTTCTTTTGTAGACAGGGTGAAGCTTCACCGAGGTAAGCAGTGGAGTGACATCGCAGGGTTGTAGATAGAATGGGCTGTATTAACTTCAACCAGATCGGTTTACACAGAAGCTAAGTAAACCGAAGTTTACAGCGTCAAATTAAGAGGGCCCTCTAAAGGCATGTATTATTGTTTTGATTTTAAAGTTTTATGCAACTGTTCAGAAGCAATACATTTTTTCCCGTTACAGCTGTGGACTCTCTTAAACCTCCCGTAATTTAGGGCCACAGCACTCCTTAATACAGACGTATACGTTCCCGTTGCATGGTGAATGTACTGTTTTCAGCGCTGATTCCTGGAAGACAGATACACGCACAAAACACAAACCCTCCGTACGAATAGAAAACTAGCACCATAGAGAGACGATATTATCCTGTCGCTGCTCTGCTAATTTTCTGCTTTCAGGGAGGTCCGTTTTATTTAGCGGGCTATGACAAAGCGAGTTGTTCTTCCACTGCAGCCTAAGGTGTTCCCTTCCACCATCTAATTCAACTCGAGGAGAACGACTATCATCTCCGACACCAAGTCTTCCTCCTGACTGACTCCCTTCCAATCCTCTCCTATAGAGAGCCCTCCACCTCCCCGCTTCCGAACAGCCACCCAGGGGGAAAAAAACGAACGCTACGGCTTTTGCCGAGAACATGTGATTGGCTCCCGCCCCGCCAAGTCTGCAGTCCATCCTCCCTCCCAAAGTCCGCCTCCTTCCCTGCTACGATTCGCCAGAACTTCTACCAATCCGTCGCCTCCGTTTGAGTCTGCCCGTTGCGTCAGGGCCACTGGAGCCAATCCGCGGGGAGCAGGAAGGAAAAGTTCCTCCTTTCATTGGACACCAATGATGTCAACTGCGCGAATAAGGGAGGGAGGTTAGAGGCGCCCCGCCCCTCCTCCGCTCCGCTTGCAGCAGCGGTTTCTCAATCGTCGGTCCAATTGCAATATTAGTGGAGAGACCGGGCGATGTGGCCGGGGAAGTGGTAGGGCTTGGAACCCAGGAAAAAGGTTCAGGAAGTCGGAGAGTTAGGGGGCCAAGAAGGCAGCCGCCGCCGCTGCTGCTGCCATTACTCGGTACAGGTAGGGTTGTCTCTCTCTTCTCCTGTGGAAGTTAAGTAGGTTAATAGTTACTGGAGGGGAAAACGCCGGGGCTTCTAAGGGAGCCTTTAAAGGGATGGGGGGCGAGAAGGATTAATGGGTTTTCCTTTTACTGCTCTTCTGGGGTTCCCCCCTCCTTGGGCCGAAGGCTAGTGTTTTAGTGGGAGGACTGAACACGGGACAATAACTGGTTTAGGATAATGGCTTTGCAATGCTGCCGTTGCCTGAGAAGTGGAGTCCCGTTAGCACACGATTATAGCGGTTGCTTTTCATGTGTGATCTCCCAGCTGTTTTGTGTCGGGGTGTCTGTCTTTAGGGGTGGAGGAGATTCCTCGGGTATGCTAAAGGCAGTGTTGTTGAGCAGGCTTTGTGAATGTTTAAAAAGAACCCGTGGCTGGACATAGATTTGTTTCCCTTCTCAATAAGGGACTTTGACAATGTATTGGGCTAGAGATGCTTAGATGCTGCTGATATGGATCAGGCTGAGGAGAAGGGGAAAATCTTTCAGTGAGGCATCTCACTACACTGCAGATGAGCTGATTCTGACTTTTTCATGGAAGAGACAAGATCAGGAGTAAAGGGAACTGGTGTTATGGGTGTGGGGAGTGAATATGGGACGCCTCACTCAGCTTCAGAGAAAATACAGTGAACTTCATACATGGCAGGGAGAAAGAATGTAAATTGCTCTCAAGAAGCAAGTCTGTCTGTGACTTGTGAAAGTAGGTAATACTGAAAATCCTGAAATGCATCAGAGCTGATCTTGATGACATAGGGGTGAAGAAAGCATTGTCTGACTCATCTGGTGACAGCACTTAATTTCTCCGAATATGAATAAAGTTGAGTTGCCTAACTCTTCAAGGCTAAGTATCTGTCCAGTGTTTTTTTCTGTGTCATGGGGAAAATCCTTTCTTTTTCCTCACTCCCTTGGAGACATTAATAGCTCCCATTTGCTCAGGCAAAGTTAGAGCACTTTAGTGCTACGTCAGGTTGAAGTCCCCTGAAGAAAGCTTTACTCAGTATGATTTGGCCTCCACAATTCTTGGTTCTTGTTCTTTCAGGACTCTTTGCTTAACCAGGAAATAGGAAACTGTCTTATATTGAATCAGAGCACTGGTCAGTTCATCTAGCCCAATATTGTCAACTTTGACTGACAGTCATTTTCTAGAGTTTGGGGCAAGATTTGTTCTGAGCCCTCTGTGGAGATCCCAGGTAGTGGTCTCCTGTCCAAGTATCACTATAAACAGGACTAATCCTGTTTAGTTTCCAAAATCGGATGGGATTAGAGTGCATGACCTGTTCTGGTCATTCTGTGTATAGAATATGGTGGTATGGTATATACAGTGAGCATGCTAGTGATTATAGACATTGTTAACAGGATTCCCAGTGTAGTATAGTGGATAGAGTGATGGACTGTGGAAAACAGGGTTTGAATCCCCACTTGGCCATTGAAACTCACTAAGGGAGTAGAACTGGTAAAAACATTCCTTAAATATCTCACGTACCTTGAAAGTCGTATTAGGGTCACTGTAAGTCAGTTCTGACTTGATGGCACAGAACACACACAAGTCATTGCTGAGCATGTAGCACTTAATAAGAATGTGCTATGGTAAGGGTGCATAGTGTGCTGAGGTGGCTTGCCCCATGTGGGATTCTGTGTAGAAAGACAGAAGTAAATTATTTAAAAAGCCTTTGCTTCTCCCCCACATAGAGATTAGTTCTGTGGAGAAAATTAGTTAAGTGATAGTATGCTTTGCCCTCTTGACTCTCAAAATTAAATTACAGTTTTAAACAAGAACAAGGTGGGGGATTTGGGCCTGCCCATCCAGTCAGAATTGGATCTGTTGCACTCGGCTAGACTAGGCTCTGTTGCCTGTGTTCTCACCATGTAGCTGTCGGATGCGAAGAGCATCAAGAGGACAGCACTGCAGAGGGCAGTAGTGTACATGCGTTAACACATTCATGCCTCAGTCAGATAATGTTTTGCTTTCTCACTGGGAAGTCGTCAGCTTTTGATTTTGGAAGCTAAAAAAGGCTACGTGTGCCCGTCCTGATTGAGTTTTGGGTCTGAAAGTGTAGCATGCTAGCCTTATGTTCTATGATTCTGTGTGAATATCTTGAATCAAGTGAGTTTTGGGTCTGAAAGTGTAGCATGCTGGTCTGGCTTAGTGTCAAGAGTGTTCATTGGCTACAGTTGCCTTGGCTTATAAAGTAGTAAACTGTGATGCTTGTCTGTTGTATAGACTTCATCTGAGCCTTATGTTCTATGATTTTGTGTGAATATCTTGAATCACATTCAGTGTTGGGAGGGAAGAGTAAACACAATACTGTAGTGATGACAGAAATATAAGGGCCTCTTCCTTGACAGCTGTTTTTTATTGACGTATGTCTGTGTGTTTAGTACTTATTCTAACCAGCATAGTGAAGAACAGTAAAGCTATTGATGTTAGATGCTAGTACATGAGAGGGTGGGACTTTATGAATGAAAGAGTTATTCTCCAGTTGCTAAAGGTTATATCATGTATTTTCCACTCTTCTGTATTCAGGGTGAGAGCAGCGTGATCTCCGAAGATGCCATAGAAGGTTTTTCTTTCCAGTGCAACTCCTGGACATGTTCACAGTACAAGCCTTTTGGGGGTCCTCATGTTGCTTTAAATAAAAATCTTCATTGTCACATGGTGTAAGGTGAGAGATTTTCTTTCTGAGAAGGAGGCTGGCTCTTCTAACAGCACACCAATAACCAGGCTCTTGTGCAAGAAGCATAAAAGGGGAGTTGGAGAGATTAAGAGGGCCAATTGCGAGATATTAATCAAGCTCTTCATAACTATCTGGAACCTCATGAAAGCACGGTCTTCCTGACAGAGTAAGAGCATACCACTCTGCAATAGAGAAGAAATACTTCGGGGAATTCTATTTTTCAATTCTCTGATCTTTCAAATTTTCTGGATAATAAAGACTGGCTGGGAAGATGAATTGAGAGTTTAGACTATTTTTATTTTGTTTCATTTTTTGAAAAGCTAAAGCCCAAATTTATCCCAAACTGTTTTTAAAAGACTCTTAATTCACAAAGTTCCTTTCTGAAGAATCCTTTTCCTGTCAGCTGTAAAGGCCAGCTGAACTATTCTTGGCTGTTGCCATAAGAGCTGAGGCTAAAATAAGGAGGACACGAATTTGAGAAGATGATGCTCTAGAAAGCCACAAGCCAAAGAAGCTAAGAACTGGATCGTTTTATCTTGTTTAAGGAGCGTGCCCCAAGGATTCTTGCCTGGGGAGAGGGAAAGTGAACTCGAGTGGCTTTGACCTCTCTTGAAATTGTTGTGGTTTCTCTGCTGGCTCTGTGGCTGGCGTCTCCAGTTCTGAATTGTGCTTGATGGGGAGTCTTGCTAGGGGAGCTGACCTTGCAGCTAAGGACAGAATTCTGGACCTGAGGAGAGTGGCATCCATATGCCAAAAGACACATTGTCTTAACCTCCGAACCAAAGGGTTTTTTCCTAACAGTTGTCCTCTGTAGTATATTGAGAGGTGGAGAAAGGCCACACAATCTTGCAACATGACATCCAAGCTGGAACAAAAGGAGGCTCATCCCCCCAATGGAGTAGTGCTACCCATTGTTGTTGGCCCTATAGACTGCCTCTCCAGCCCTGACCGGGAGCATCTTGTTGAATCTTCTGAATTCTTAGGACCTGAAGACAAAAGAGGAGTGGAGGTGGTGGTGGTAGAATTACGGGCCAATGCCAAAGGAGTACGTGAGGAGGATGCCCTGTTGGAAAATGGCAGTCAGACTACTGAGAGCGATGATACCAGCACAGACCGGGGCCCAGAACCAACCTCTCTTCTCAAAGAAACCTCCTTCTCCATTGGCTTGCAAGTTCTCTTTCCTTTCCTGCTGGCAGGATTTGGGACAGTTGCAGCTGGGATGGTGCTGGACATTGTGCAGGTAAGACTTAGTTTTTTCAGTATAATACCATGTTTCCCCGAAAATAAGTCAGGGTCTTATATTAATTTTTGCTCCAAAAATGCATTAGGACTTATTTTCAGGGGAAGTTTTATATTTTTTTCATGTAAAACAATCTATGTTTATTCAAATACAGTCATGTCAGCTTGTGGTTGCTGCACAATGCTGCATAAAGGTGGAGGGTGGAGTGTCACTTAACTGGGGCTTATTTTTGGGGTAGGGCTTATATTACGAGCATCTTGAAAACTCATACTAGGGCTTATTTTCAGGTTAGGTCTTATTTTCAGTCCTCAGATTCCATGAGTGTGTAGGTAGCTTTGGATCCTATTAAAGTAGCAGTCTGTTCCTTCCACTCTTACTTATGGACTGAATTGCCTTAAGTCCCACTGCTGGGAGAAAGGTGACATAGAAATGCAATAAATAAATTACTTTAAATGCTTAGCATTTTAGTCTAAAGACTGGTTGTATGATCAGGCTATATACTTAGCAATTTTAGGGATTTTAAAAAAAATTACTTAGCCAGTAAACTACACTTGTTTGACATAAGGGAATGTTTCTCCATGGTGTAAGTGGTCACATTTCAGATGGTCAATAGCAAAGTGGCTCTGTCTTATCAGTGCTCTTTAAATAGCACCCAGTCAGTCTAATAATTATCACATTTAAGCAACATAAGCTATAAAGTCCAGTGTCTCATTTAAACTAAGCTTCTGTTCCTTCCAACTGGAGAGTTTGGATTTTAAAGACTTGTCAACTTCTCTGAAGAGTTCTAAGTAAATAAAAATTTGTCTTTGGTTACCTTAACTCTGAATGTGTGTAGTGCTTTTGGAGTTGGTGAATGCGCCTGGAGATTTACTCATCTAGGAATGACTCAGAGTGCTGCAGTAAAACTGTGCAGCTGCTGGCCAAGGCTGTTAATGATATCAGTACTGACAAATCAGATTGGCTGCTAGGCAGCTAAAAGACCTGTTCAGCAGTGGAGTGAAAAGGTGTGTTTTGAGTTCTTGCATTATAGGTAGTCTCATTTGAGTTTTGCCCAGATTCAAACTCCTTTTTCTGTGAAATAAATACAGTACTAGAAATGCCAGGAGCAGTGGAGATTTCCATTTGAGTTTTCTTGAAAACCAGGCCATGTGAAACTCTCCTGCTCTCAGCCGCTTCTCAAATGATGTTCCTGAGTTACGGTATCACTTCGCTCCTTTGGCTGCAGCCTAGCTAACTGGCAGGTCATGTTAAAGGCCAAAGCTCTTTTGTTAGACTTGTTTCTCTCATTTATGCTGGTCACAGTTGGTAATGCTCTGGGCAGAACCCAACCATTCAGATTCTAAATTGTTCCTGTGGAAGGAAGTTGCTACATGATATAAATAATTGCCTAAACATGGCTTTTAGCTGCTGCATCTGTGTGAGATGCACGTTGGCCTCCCATGTACATCAGAGTGCCTACTGTGTAGCCAACTTTAAATGCTTAGCCATAAATAGATAAAGGATTTGACACTTCCTTCTCTCAACCGTCAACTTCTTGAAGCCTTTTTGAATGCTGAGTTAAATATTTGCATGATTTCGGGGCTTTGTCAGGGGTTTTATTTCTAGTGCCTGCCTAAAGATGGTGGTGTTCTTAATCTTATTTTTGTATTATGGGCTAGGACTTTGTAAAGAATTATATCAAATGACAACTATGCACGTGTTTGTTTTTTGAAGTGCATGACTTAAGTCTAAATAATTCACTTCTTAAGAGAGAAAATGAACTTTCTAAAAAGATTGGATTGAGGAAATCTACAGTGCAGCCCTGATTTAGTCTTGGGTGTATGAACTTGGCTTTGATGGCTAGAGATATGGTTTGAGTAGGCTTAAACATGGTATGAATGTGCATACTGATCCAAACCACAGCACACTTTCAGAAGCAGTGGCAGCAGCAGACATCTGCCAGCATTTGAGTGTAGGACATTGTGAACCGTATATCTTTGTACATGGTATATTTCACATTAACTATCTCTGTGCAAGTGTTCATGTTGCTTGGATCCCCTCAGAAATAAGGTATGAGTGCTGGGCCAATGGGTTAGAACCAGTGTTCTACCAGCCTGAGCTTGGTGATCCTCCAGACACATTTCATAGGATCCTTGAGTAAGTCCTGGTGGGACAGGAACAGATGTCTCAGATTGAATACAGATGTTGATTGTATGGTGTTTGTATGTGTGCATTGGAAATGTGTAAGAAACTAGTTGACATCTTTTATTTTTAGAATGGAAGAGTTGTTCTATAAGAATATCTCCTCTTCTAGAATGATTCTCAAGAAAAAACTCTTCTGTATCATTTCAAGCTAATTTTTAGTGGGTTTTTTTTCATGGTTTCTGTGGTTTAAGTTAATATAAAGTACAAGGCTGGCCTTTTTACAGGGCAAAAGCCTACCAAAATCAGAGGGGAGGGGAAGTTAGTTGGGGTTTTTTTTTAACTACACCTCCCACAATTTCAGTGCATCTCAAACCTAAATGGCTACTATACTTCAACAGTTGTATGTGTCTGCTATTTGCCATTTTGGGGCATCTTGCGCATGTGCCATCATTTAAAATGTCCTCCTCACAATGGAATCACACAAAGGCAAAATAGAAAACTAACAGCCAATAGTTTAAGAAAATAAAAGCTGGCTGATTTGCTTTTATTGGCCACCTTTCTTTGGCGTCAATGCTCTTGTTAATACCTCCATGCACTCTTCATTTCCACTGGAATCTGGAGCACGGTTTCAGATCTTTTTTCATACCTCAGTCAGAAATCTGCACTACTTCAGATTCTTTAGAAAGATGCAGCTCTCAAATGTTGGCACTTCCTAACTTAATGCCATTTTTTTCCAAAATGTTCACTTTCTTGTTTTTAGTTTTAAATGTTTGAGCACTTCTTTCCCTAGGCAAAGATGGCCTTCTTTCTTAGCCCTTGGTTTCTATTATACAGCTCCTGATTCCTATTATTTAGCAGCTTGACTTCTACAGCTCCCCAGGACCACCAAAGTTTATCCTACAGCTGCCCCATCTTCTGTCCGTGGAAGGAAGTCTGGGTGATAGGTCAGTCTGCCACTTTCTCTTCTGCCTTCACCAGTGAGATGAAAGGTGAATTCCTTTTTCTGGGTTAGAGGTGAAAGAAGTTGCAGTGTATATTTACACAACAGAGCAATAGTAGTTTGATGCCACTTTTAGCTACAAGGTTCTTTCCTGTTGAATCCTGGGGTTTGTTATATGGTGATGCATTTCACATTCTTTGCTAGAAGGGGCTAGTGCTATCATCTAGGACAGTGGTTCTTAACCTTTATTACTCAGGTGTTTTTGAACTGCAACTCCCAGAAACCTCAGCCAGCAGAGTAACAAAGGTTAAGAACCAGTGATCTAGGAGAGTGCACTAAAGCCCTGTCCCTTGTTAAACCACAGATCTCAGGATTCCAAAGGATAGAGTCATTGCAGCTATTAAACTGCTGTAAACATGTACTGTAGAGATAACCCTGGCTGTCTAGCCTCCTCTTTCAAACTTATATAGCCATAAAACACAATGTACTGGCAGACTTTAATCAATACTGCAAATGAAAATAAAGATCATGAGAAGCAGTAGATTCTAAGATGTAGGCAGATCTGTGTTAAATATCAGTAAAAATGTGTTTGAGTCTCAGGGACATTTTCGCATCCAGTCCTGGAGCTTCCTCATGCCAACCAGGACAAAAAAAGTGTAAAACAAACAATGTTTATAAAAAATGTAAGCAGACAGGATATTGTGTCTTGGGCAAGGAAGTTAGACTCTACAAGCCACTAAGCTCTGTTTATACATTAATGTTTCAGTCCTGGCTTAACATTTTCAGTGTTAAATGGACAAAAGTACCTTAAAAATATTATTACTGCAGTGGAAAATCGTAACTGGGGCTCCTGAGGAATAATGTTTTAACATGTGACCAAATTTCCCCTTGGCCTTTTAAAAGAGTTCAAAGCGTGTCTCAGTGCTCAACAAAAGATTAGTCTGCTTGAGGGAGTGTGATGAAGATAAAAGTAAAGATGAATGTGTATTTATTCCTCTTGTATTATCTTCAGTCTTTGAAAGGATGGAGGAGAGAATGGCCATTTTGCCTAAACTGTCTACCTCCTTTACAACACTAGTCAAGGACCAGTGTAATAGCCAGAGTATTTTGAAGTCTCTTAGCGTACAAGAGCTGCATCTGCTGTGTATGGTAGTTGAACATTGTTCCAAGGGTACAAGTGATAGCTACAGTATTTATTTGATCTGTCATAGCTTTATTTTTTCTAAATTCCTGGGTGGAAGCCCATGATTTCACTGACATTATAACAAAATCTATGTATAAAGACTTAATCATGATGAGGTTTGAAATAGTTGCTTTGAATCCCTGATTAATATGCATTTTTTTTCTCCAACTTGGTTGATGTTTCGCATGTCTGTACTACATTAACTTGAGTACAGCATGGGCTGTCATAATACGAATCTTCATAAGATAGTAAAAAAATTGTTGAACAAAAGCACTGTTAAAATGCTATACAAAAATAAAAATTCAGACCTATAACTTTACAGTAGCAGTGTGAATAATGTGTTCCAAGAGCAGGAAAATGCCCCCCTCTCAGGATGAGTTTCAGAATGTTGAGGGGATAGGATGAAGCATATGATAGGATGAAGCTGGCTGGGTTCTGGAACTTGACTTCAAAACTCAAAAATGTTTTCAAATGCTGTACGAAACCCATCTCGCACATTTGCATGGAAAGGTGAGGTCAAATGCACGGAAGGCTTTATGTGTTGGGGGTAGGAACTGACCTTGAATGATCTGGGTACACAGAGCTGCCAGTAAACCATTCTTTTGGCAATGACAGGAATAGACCAAGCACTTTGGGTCATATAGTGCAGAATCTAGTGTCCACTTTCTACCTCTCTCCTTGCTTTGGGTGCCTATTTTCACAGTGACCCTCATAAGACACTAAATAGATCTCTCTTTCTTCTTTCAGAGCCATGTGGTGCTATCATTGTGTTCAGTGGGGCTTACCTCCCGGTTAGTACATCTAGCATTGCAGGCTTAATGTTGCAGGCCTTCCTTTTGGCACTTTGACTTCTTAAGCAAAGGGCATTCTCGACAAGAGCCAGCAAGGTCCCCATTATGGTTATAAATATGCCAACGGATCCTGACCTCTGTATGTTATTAAAGAACTTGGCAGGCACCCATGAATCCTGTCTTCTGACTTAAGTGAAGTGTCGTATTTTTCTCCCCTTGGAAGAAGCCTCCCCCCCACACCCCTTAGATAACATTCCTGTGTGAATTTTATTGCTCCAGTTTCAGTTACAGCCCATAACAAATTTGTGTAGCTCTGGCTTGCTATGTAGCAATCCGAAACACATAGTAGAATGGAGAAGCCCTTACTCTGTTGCGGGGCCTTTTGCATCAAATAGATTTTCTTACTGTTTCTGGGTAGTACCTTACAGCGTTACAATTGTGTGTATAAAACCCAGTTGGGCAGGAGGATTTAACCTATATTAAATAACATATTCAGAGATGCTCTATTCCTCAGGACTGAAGGGAGACAGGGCTACAGACCCCTCCATGATGTCAGTAATGCGAGCAGTTGGGATCAGTGTTGTGATACCAGTAATTGTCAGTGCCTCTCCAAACTCATGCTATCGGCACTTCCCAAAAAACATTAAATGCATTTTATGTCTGTCCAGTTTGGGCCCACAAAGAAAGAAGCTACTGAGGAACAGGTCCCAGGTGGCTTTGCAAATGTCATAAATTTCTTTTATTAAAAGCATCCAAATGATAGCAGTTTTAAAGATTTTCTTGTTGCCAAGTTAAATGGGGTGTCTTAAGAATGACTTTTTTCTGCACCCTGATGCAGTCTTTGCAGTCTTGAAGATAAATCTTTTCAGGCATCCATTTAAACTAGCCTTCTCCACCCCAGTGCCCTTCAGATGTGTTGGAAAACAATTTGTATCATCCACAACTAGCATGTCCCGGTCCTGCTAGTTGGACGTAATGGCTATAGTCCAATACATTTGCAGGGCACCAGATTGGAGAAGAAACTCTTAATGGAACACATGAGAGGAATTGTGAAAGGTAAAGAGAACTGATCTCAGTTTCAGAATAGTTTACAAGAATATATGTCCCCAGGTGGTCCCTTGCTACTGTTCCATTTTTAGCACAGCAGGGTAGGTAAGGTGTGGAGGAAATGGTTCTTCAAGGATAGTAGGAGTAGTGATATGCCTATAACTATTAGGATCTGCATTCTGATTCTAACCATTATGATAAAATACTGCCAGTTTTTGAAAGGCAGCAGTATTCTGGTTTCTTGAAGTAAAATATTGTGTCATGATTTCCACCCAGTATTTTTCTTCTTCTTCTTCTTTTAGTCTAGTATATTAGCATGCAAAATGTCTCCACATTACCATTTTGCAGCTGTCCTAGTCGCAGCTGTGTCTATCCATCACCGTAGATTCCTGTTGCAGTTAGTTACATCTAGTTTTAACCGGGAATACTGTGTGCTTTCATTTTTCATGTCTCACATGCGGAACAGAGCTGTGGCCATCCCTTTACATCATACTGGAGAATGAAGTTCTATATGAAGCAAAAAAAAATTGTAAATTTTTATAGATCTCCAAAATTTGGTGTATTCCCATTCACTTTTGATAAAGAATGTTTCAGTTACAGGGTGATGAATGTTCCTTCTGTCAATCTCAACTTTTCACTAGACTAATTCCACATATATGTTTAAGAGAAACAAACAAACAAACAAAAAATCTGATGGTCGTTGTAGGTTTTTCGGGCTGTCTGGCCGTGTTCTTGAGGTTTTTCTTCCTCTCTTCATGGTATAGTGCATAACTAAACATTTCAAAACATACACACACAAAAGATTATCTTTCACCTTCTGGAGAAAAAGGACATCAAGGCTTAAACCATAGTTAAGGAAAGCATTTAGCCTTTTTAGTTTCTACATTCAGGAAAAAAGAGAACACTTAAACCCCCAATACATTAATTCTCCAAACAAAGACCCTGGGAAAGTTACTTTTCTGGACTAATATTGTCACAATCAGGCAGCCAGCATGGGACTCATAGTACAAAAAATTATTTTAACAATCTTTTTCTCATACCCACTGTGACACTCATGCCATTCATATTCATGAACTGATTTGTATGATCCTCTGAGGACTGGAGAGGCAGATTCATTCGCTGCATGAGGCTTGGCGGGAGTCAGATAAGGGCTGGTTAGTGAGAGAGAGAGGGAACAGATACCGAGAGAGATAGAGCTGGTTAGGAAATTAGGTAGAGAAGGTGGTAATGATATAGCAAGAAAAAAGAAGTATGTACTGAGAGAACTGTTGATGATTTCCTTGTGTATAATGTTTATCTGAGAAACTTCTGTTATAATTCAATCTGCTTCGCTTCAATAAATAAGTTCTGTTTCTCTTCACAAGTCAAGTGTTCAGAAAAACGTCATTTATATTGTGAATTGAGGTAATCCACTGGTGGCAGCGAGAGGAAAACACGACGTGAGCGTTTGTGAGGGACAGACAAGCAGGGGCCACAAGGGCGAACACCACACCCACCTGCATAAATTAGACATGTGAGAAGAGTGGCCTTTGTTGTGCTGTTGCAAGAAATTGGATAGAGTGCAAATATTAAGATACCGACAGTACCTATGGAAAGCTGTTTTTAATCAGTGACTTCTGAACATAATCATTTAGCCACAAAGCTTCAGGGCACTTTTCTTTGTCAAAGTCAGAGTCAGGAGTCAAGAACCTCCACTGGTCTTCACGATTAACACTTTTAGAGTGATCAGTAGGCAGTTCTTACCTGTGGTTCTTGTGGCTTCCTTTCCTGCTATGATATAATCTTTGCTATGTTATTAGCACTGTCTCAGAAACCCATATTTTTCCTCTTTAGGCAGAGTGATCGGGTTTATGCTGGAAGCAACAGGATGTTTACAGGTCGCTGGACAGGGAGAATGAACTTTTATTGTTAGTTGCTTCCTTTTTGTTTCCATAGTGTTTCTGCTTTTGCATCTGTGTTAGCTGGAAAAAAGAGATTGTAATGCATAGATTTGAGAGAGGATGGCCTTGTTATCATCCATGGTCTAGGAATCTAAAGCAAGAGGTTGAATCTCGGGACATATATTGAGTCCATTACGTCAGCCATTCTCAACAGGGGGCATATGGCCCCCTGGGGGCCCCTGGCACATTCAAAGGGGGCCACAGACTGGAAAAGTTCTTCACACACCACCAAAAGGTTCGTTATGTGACTGATATAATCCTGATTTGGCCTAGATTTCTTTCATGTGATGTTTACATCTGTGGCCAAAAAGGGCTGGAAATGGCTGTATTACATTTTTACTCAGAGGTACTACAGTATATAAAAGGGACGTGGTGGCACTGCGGGCTAAACCGCAGAAGCCTGTGCTGCAGGGTCAGAAGACCAAGCAGTCGTAAGATCGAATCCACGCAATGGAGTGAGCGCCCGTCGCTTGTCCCAGCTCCCGCCAACCTAGCAGTTTGAAAGCATGCAAATGCGAGTAGATTAATAGGGACCACCTCGGTGGGAAGGTAACAGCGTTCTGTGTCTAAGTCGCACTGGCCACGTGACCATGGAAGATTGTCTTCGGACAAAACGCTGGCTCTATGGCTTGGAAACGGGGATGAGCACCGCACCCTAGAGTCAAACACGACTGGAGAAAAATTGTCAAGGGGAACATTTACCTTTACCTTTACTACAGTGTTTGGTTGACTTTACTTTCAAGTCATTTTACAGTACATATGATTGAAACTGTAGTGATTTCAGACTTTTTTTGTCCTGGACCATTACTTTTCACGCCAATAAATGATTGTTTAACACTAAACAGAACAAGATCTGTCATCTGCAATGTTTTTCCCCCTTATATCTAACACACATTTTTCCTCTCTGAGGTGCCAAGGCACCTTCCCTGCTCACTGATCAAGAAGTACATGCATAGTACAGGGTTCTGTGGCTCATTCTACAGCAGTTTTTGCCTAGCAGTTTTCTTCTGCATATCCTCTGTCCCAAGTATAGCCAAAGCTTTTACAAGGAGGGAACATCAGTAACAGGAAACAAGCTACCTTCTGGATGCTTTCTCTGATCTCTTTTGGCACCCCCTGATAAGATGCTGAACAACTCAGGTGCTTGGTTGCATAGGTCAAAAACAACTGCTACGTTCTCAGTAATCTCTTAATAGATCCTTACAGACTTTCTTGGTTTTGCAGCACTGGGATGTCTTCAAATATGTGACTGAAGTATTCATCTTGGTTCCAGCGCTCCTGGGACTGAAGGGCAACTTGGAGATGACATTAGCTTCTCGACTTTCTACAGCTGTGAGTATTTTGCTCTTGCAGTTTGTCATGCAATTGGCAAATGAGTGGCCTTCAAGCCTTATTTGGATTTTCATTCTTTTACTAATACAGAGTAGAAGTGGTGTTGACCTAAGAGTTTTCTCCAATCTGGTGTCCTCCAGATGTCCTATCAACACCAGCCAGCATGGGCAGTAATCATGGATGATACAAATTATAGGAATGCTGTGGGATAATGGCCCAAGGTATTGCAGAAAGAGGGGGGGATTGTCTGGAAGTCCCTTACCTTCATGGGAGCAAAAGAGCAATTTAGTATCCAAGCATATGTTCACTTGCCTGTCTCCATCTATGCACCAGGTTGTCCAGATAAACCCATGATCTGATAGCAGTTACCTTGTTTCTTGGAAGGCAACAGAGAATCAACTAGTTTTATATTTTACAGAGAGAAATAAGACTCGGCAGTCCGGACATATTGTGTTCTTAGTGTTGTAATTCTTCACAGTTTCTCTCTTACAAGAAAGGCTGGATGTTGAGCATGTGCTTTACTGATTGTATGTGCTAGTCTGAAACAGTTTTCAACTCTCCATCCACATTCCCAGAATGTGCTGAACCATTTGTGTGAGCTTGTGCTCTTTATTCTCCTTAGTTCCTTAAGTTGGAGGAGTCCAAGTTTCATGGTATAGGTTGTACCAGTGAAAAGCACACCTCTTTTTTTAAGAAATAAGAGATTGACTAATAGCTCCCAGTGTATTGTGTTATTCAGACAACTCTACCACAGCTCCCTGGCTTATCATAGAAATCAGAGATGGCTTTTATGAATAGAACTTTGAATTGTCATGTGAAAACTGACAAGGGCATACTTGTGGAGCAAAATATAATTTAGTTGGGCTGCAAAGCCAGAAGTGAGGTTTTAGTATTGGAAAACAGTCTTGGGTGAGGGCTCGTAGCACCAAAGTCATAGTTCAGTGCTTCCCTCTTCCCCCTTCCCACTTACTCTGTTCTTCTCCATCGTTCATTTCTACATTGTCAGTGAACAGGTTGGTAGGACTGTAAGTTTTTCTAATTAAGGAGCTGTGACTAACACTACCATGCCTGATGTGTATTCTGCACTGTGGCACATTACTGAACCTATGTGTTATTGGAATCCTAAAACTAAAATAAAAATGGTGATCCCATCCCCAGGTAAAACAGAGAAAAGTACCTGAAAGTGGAAGGATCACTGTTGTATGCTCTACTAACCATCTGATCCCATTGTTTTCTTTTGGCCATTCAGTCTTGTCATTCGGGCACAATTTGCTTAGCCTTTCTCTCCCCGTTTTTCTCTCTCTCTGCTTATCATGAACAGTTAACTGTATGCTAACATTCTGTTCCCTGTGGAGGATTCCTGGCATTTTCTTTGGCACTTCTCTGTCAATTGCCTAAAGAAAGGAGATGATCTTATTGTTTGCAGTATGAAGTGAGAGACTGGGAATGGGTCCCATAATTCAGTCTTGGGCATGCTGCCAGTTTGGGATGTTTTTTCTTCCCACGTCCCAAAAAATGTAAGCAGGGCAAAAAAGGGTTTTTAGATTAATTGAACTGTTGGACAAGGATTCCTTAGAACATGACTCTCATTGTTGGGACAATTGCAGACTTACCAGTGAGTTACCCTCCTTGCCACCAACTGAAGGTATCAGTGGATCCATTGCCACCAATGCTTTTAGATACTTTATTAACAGGATGTGGTTATTTGCAATCTAGTCACTTCTGACTTAGGGCAACCATATGAATTAGTGACTCCCAGAGGTCCTATTGTTACCAGCCCCAATCACCTCTTGCAAGCTGAAGACTATGGCTTTCTTTGTTGAGTCAATCCATCTTTTCTTTGGTCTTGTTCTCTTCCTGCTGCCTTCAACTTTTCCCAGCATTATTGTCTTTTCTGATGAACCTTGTCCTTTCGCAACATAAACAAAGTACAGTGACCTCATTTTAGTCATTTTTGTTTCTAGGTAAAGTTCAGGTTTAATCTTATTGAGATAGTTACTCAGATTTGGAGGGATACTGCATTTATCTGTGAAAGTATCCAGTGAGTTCTGAGCTGTTTTCAGGGTGATTGGATGGGCACTGGAACACGTCACAAGGCCAGATAAGATTGTGGACAACACCTAAGCTTCCTAATATACCCTGTGTATTCATGGTGTTTGAGCCAAAGGCCTCCACAAATGAGGGCTCTGGCATGTAGTTTTCCACCACTCTCACAAAAACTTTTAACCACAACATTTTCCAAGTCTCCCCAGTCTCTCTCACCTGATGACCTTGACTTGAGTTCTGCTTCCTTTCTTATAATAACATGCTTCCAGCTACATGAGACTTGAATCCCATGAGGCTTGATTCACAGTTGTAGAACTTAAGCCTCTACTGCATTCCAGCAGAGCTTAATGGCTCTGGCAGCAGGAGAGACTTGGCAGGGAAATGATACACCCCCTTGCTGCGTGCAAAAGCTTTTATTATTTCCCATCCTCCTCCTGCCACACTGGCAGGCCCCTTGTACATAGGGAGCAGGGTTGATCAAACATTTAGTGGAAAAGCTACTTGGACTACATTGGACTACATTTCCCAGCATTTGTCATACCATCTGGGGAGCGATTGGAATTGTAGTCCACTGCTCCTGGGACCTGCCAGTACAACAAAGCCTGGTTTATAGAGTATCTGGCTCCAGTAGGGCCATCCGAACACTACTCTCAACTAATAATTGTAGAAATTATAGCTTATCCTAGTTGAAAAGTCCTGCTCTGCATTTGGCTTTCTTAAAACAAAACTTGGCAAGCAGCACTCTAGCTTATAAAGGTATTTATCTATGTCTTTCCAGCTTTTCCATCCACCCAGAACAAGGGTGGAGAACTTTTTCAGCCTGAGAACTGAGTTTAGTTTCAAAGGTGGACTGCAAAGCAGCATCAGGTGAAATGAACAGCAAAAGGAGAGAACCAAAAATACCAGCAAATTGTAGCTTGAAGCTCTTAACTTGTGATTAAGATTTTAGGAGATACATTTCAGGCTTTAAGTATGGGGAAAGCCATGGAAAAGCTGGAAAGCCAAGAAATGATGCTGTCATAGAGAAGGGGAGCATAGCCATAAAAGGAACCTTAGAAGGTCAACTTCAGTCCTTGAATCAAGCTTCGCCTTGCGGCACTTTGCACAAGAGATCATCATCACTAATGTTCTTGAGGAATGCATTCATTCTCTTTCTTCACTCATTTTTAGGATACATGGGTATATGCAACAATGAAACAAATATTGTTGCAGTATTAGCAGATTTTTGTGTATGCAAAATGCCACCTGAAAAGCATATCCTTGTTATTCTGAATGTAGCTTCTTTACTGTTGTATGCAGATGATGTATTATTACCACTAAGATTATAATGCTTGTTGTAGTACAATTGGCATCCAGATTTGGTCATTGCGGTCCTATTTTCAAATGTGAGGGGTCCTTACTTGAGTATCAAAGACCACCTAATGAGCTTTTGACAGTATTCTTTGTGACTGCATTATAGGAGAGGCTAACAGATCAACTAGTTTGCATGCTACATGGGAAAACTCCAGATTTCCTAGGCTAGGGCATCTCCTAGGCTAGGGCATCTCTCCCAGATATTAGGGAAAAGACCTCTGCATGAGATCTTGCTGAATTAAGACAGAAACGGATGACTGTGATTAGAGCTGAAAGCATGTTAGTGTTGGACAGATGTGATTCTTCTGTGTCTGAAATATCAGAATTGAAGTCATTCTCATGGTAACTCAAGAGCAATCTCATGGAGTCCTGAAGATCAGTCACAAAGCAAACTAATTTGCAGATCACTTGAAATGGGAAATATTCTGCTATGCACACAGATGTTTTCAGCATTTAAGGAATTACCTGTTCTAATCATTGTCTTTCTCTGATGTTTATAGCTGCCTTTAGTGTCCATCAGCACAGAGCAAAAAATATAACTAATTGCATTCCTATAGTGATAGTTATGCGACTTCAATATTCTCCTGTCATTCATTCATTCTTTCATTTAGGACCACTTCTGTATCACTTGATTTAAAAAAACCAAAGCAATTTAATGCATTACAAATATATCAGAAAATAGGGTGCTATAAGTATTAAAAATATCAAAACATAGTGTCCAGTGTTGGTGGTAATGATCAGAGAATGCTTGCATGAAGAGGTATTTTAAATAGTGGTTGGAAGCCTGATGATAATAGTGTTTCTGAGTAAGAGAGATGAAAGGGCCTATATGAGGATAGGGCCATTTCGAAGTTGCTGTTGTATGATACTCTATAGGTGCCAGCACAGTTGATAGGGCCACTGTCATACCTCTTCTCTTTGATCTGATGTCTAATCTCCCTTTGCCCTGTCACTTGACTACAGAGGTAATGGTCTCTTTAAATCACCTCAGGAATAAACATGTCTTCTTTAATAACCTTCATTTATTTCCCCTTTTCTTCTTTTGCTGCTGTCAACTTTTGGCTGCCCTTATATGTGTGTATTTGCCCCTTCATTTTTATAACACTCTCCACATGAGCCAGCCCTCAAGTATTGAACCCAGCACCACTGAGTTTAAATGGAATAAGATTTTATTAAAATAAGAATGTTAAAAGACTGCTGTTTATTCTTGGGCTTGTTTTTTTTCCAGCACAATCCATCACTCTCTCTATAACCTCTTTCCTTCAATTTCTTTCTCTCAGGCTACTCTCTCCAACTTCCCTCTCAGACCCCAGACTCCAAAATGACCCTCTTACTGATTTCTCCCCACCTGATTCCTCCAAGGAACTCACCAAAACTCAGTTCTTCTAGATTCTCTTAGCCAGTTGGAACCATTCTTGCTAAAATTCCACGCCTCATGGCGCAGTGGTTAAACGGCTGTACTGCAGCCAAAACTGTGCTCACGGCCTGGGATTCAATCCCAGGTAGCTGGCTCAAGGTTGACTCAGCCTTCTATCCTTCTGAGGTGGGTAAAATGAGTACCCAGCTCACTGGGGGGGGGGGATGTGTAGCCTGCATAATTAACTTGTAAACTGCACAGAGAGGGCTTGAAGCACTATGGAGCAGTATATAAGCAGCACGCTTTGCTTTTTGCTTTTTACTCACCCTCTCCCATCAGTAACATCTATTCCAGTACAGAAGACCAGGTCTAACATGTGCTCTGCGCCATGAGCGGGGGCAGATACCATTTGGGACAGACCTAGGGTTGTCAGGGAAGACATGAAGTCCTGAGCTGCTCCTGAAAAAGCTGCCTTGGCATGGACATGGAAGTTCCCCAACACAGCAAAACTCCCACACCACCCCCAAAGCCAGTTTGGCTAGCTCAGGGAGGGAGATCGTTGAGCAGGTGGGTAGACAGTACATCAACAGAATTTCCTTTTCTGTCCTAGGCTCCCACTTTCAGATGTACACAATCAAATTTGGAAAACAGGTGACACCTGGGAGGGGGGTGGATTATTGTCATAGATTACTGTAGCTCCACCTCCCTGTCCCCTAGGCCTTGCCTCCTGCAATGCAGAAGAAAAGGGTGGATGAAGCTGAGTGAGAGTAACACCCTCAGCTTCATCCAACCAAATCTCTGTAATGTAAGCCAGACTGACAAGGAAGCAAATCCAAAGATAGGCTCATGAAAATTCAAGGATTGTTGCTATTTACTGTCCACAAATGGGAAACAGTCCTATTGTATTGTGTTTCCCCCAAAATAAGACAGTCTTATATTATTTTTTGCTCCAAAAATGCATTAGGGGTTATTTTCAGGGTATGCTTTGTATTTTCATGTACAACAATCTATATTTATTCAAATGCAGTCATGTCATTTTCTTCTGGTTGCTGCATAATGGTGGAGGGTAGGGTTTCACTTAACTGGGGCTTATTTTTAGGGCAGGGTTTATATTACGAGCACCCTGAAAAATCACACTAGGGCTTATTTTTGGGGAAACATGGTAGCATCACATTAACTTTTAAAATGTATGGCCAGCTTTATTGGTGAAGCAGAAAATCCAAGTGCTCTTCCTTGCTGATATGCAGGATTTCCAGTGAGTTGTTCCTATTACTCCATCTCCTGTTCTGCCATCCTTAATGGTGTCAAATCATTTCATCTTATCAGGGTTGATGTTAAGGCCTCACCTTAAGGCAACATGACTTTTTTCACAGGTCCATACGTGTAGATGGGGGTTGGACAACCTCAAAAGTGTGTGCGTGTGCGCGCGTGTGTGTGTGTGCGCGCGCGCTGACTTCTGGACTGTGGAGGGTCACTTGTGTGTGTGTGTGTGTGTGTGCGCGCTGACTTCTGGACTTTGGAGGGTCATGTCTACAATCCCCATCCTCCTAAAAAAATTTGAAAAAAGGGGTTTTAACTGATAAACCTAATTTTATGCCCTCTAGTGGCCAAAAATATTGTCCAACTGGAATTAAACTGATTTGGAGAGTGGGGAGGTCCTGAGGTGTGTGGAGGGCCTATGGATTGCATGCTGCCCTCCATGATATAGGAAGTGAAACCATTTGTAGTCACTGCATGCTCAACACAAAGTTTGGACATGGTGCTTTTTTCCTACTGGGAAAACTTGCAGGCAAAGTAATAATAAATGTACAGTACTTTTTTAAAAAAGCTATAGGCTGTGCTGGCAAAGCCTTTCACTTCGTTGAATTGCATCAAGTGGGGTGGGAGGCTGTCATCTTGTTGCTTTTTCAAAATCGATCCTATAACAGAGCTCAAGATAGAAAGAAGTCAGATGTGCCCAGAGGGCTAACTTTGGTACTTTGGAAGTTGTTTATCAGAGCTTAGCTTGACCTTAACTACTGTACCTTGTTGGCAGCGGGTTTGAGTCCACATTTATTGGGATCACATGGACTTGTTGGTTTGGGATTGTTTTCCCCTTAAAGGAAAGGCATTTAAGAGATTGCCCACCTGCAGTGGGTCTCCTTGAAGTAAGCCTTCTGGAGGCTTGGCCGTTATTGCTTGCTGTGTGGGAATGAAGCTTAGTACAGTTTCTCATTAGCTGTGCATTTAAAACTTCCAAAATAGTTTTGTCATTTAAGCGAAAGCTTTTTTCTCCCTGCATGTTCAAGGGATTAAAAGTTTGCTTTTTTAGAAAGCTAGGTTATGTTGATCCGTAACCTAATTGCAAGGGAATAGGGAACCTGTGAGCCAAATTCAACACAACTAATTCCTAACAGTGCTGAAACTATTTGTGTCTCATTGTTCTCAGTGGAACTTTCCACGTTTAGGGCTGTATTAAATCTATCTCATTTGCTGAAACAGCCATTGCTGATCAATATACTAGTGAAAACAAGATAAAGAATCAGTTCACAAAATATGTGATCAAGGTAAAGTGGTACCTCGCTTGACAACGATAATCCATTCCAGCAAAATCACTGTATAACAAAATCGTCGTCAAGCAAAAGTAAAAAACCCATTGAAATGCTTTGAAAACTGGTTCAATTCGTTCCAATGGGCGAAATACCTCATCGTGCAGCAAAGATCCTCCATAGGGTGGCCATTTTCCAGTGCCTGTTAAGCGAGGAATCAGTCCTAAACACAACGGAGAGCCATTTTGCACAGCGGGTGGCCATTTTGAGAGCCGCCAATCAGCTGTTTTAAAATCATCATTTAGCAGGGAACCGATCGTCGTAAAGTGAATTTTACCCATTTAAACATTGTTTTGCGATCGCAATAGTGATTGCAAAAACCTCATCGTAAAGCGGATTCGTTGTGGAGCGGGGTAATCATTAAGCGGGGCACCTCTGTAGTTGTAAAACACTTCTCATGTGACAGACTCACATTGTCTTTATTGCAAGGGCCTTCTCGGCGGTCGCTCCTCGCCTGTGGAATAATTTACCTCCTGGTATTCGCGGAGCTCCCTCGCTGGGCACTTTTAAGAATCTACTAAAGACCTGGATGTTTCGGCAGGCCTTCTCACCAGATTATTTCTGATTTTCTTATCTTTTATTGTTTTTTACTTTTATCTGTTTTGTAATTTGTTGTTCTATTTTTATTGTATTCTTCCCTGTTGTAAGCCGCCTAGAGTAGTCCTTTGCGACTAGATAGGCGGGATATAAATAAAATAAATTAGAATTAGAATTAGAAAAAAATGCTAGCTCTATGGGTTGGAAACGGAAATGAGCACCACTGCCTAGAGTCGGACACAACTGGACAAATTGTCAAGGGGAACCTTTACCTTTTTATAGTCCAACAACTTCTTGGGAGACGAGATTGCTTTTTGTCTAGCTTATCTGTGAGGAAGTGGATTTTAATCTACAAAATCCCATGGTAAAATCTATTTAATTTTAAGGTGTCACAGTGTTTGGTTTTTGTGCACAATTTTGTTCTAATCATAGAATCAAATTACATTCATGATTTTAATTATGAATTCATGAATGCTCAGTTCATGTGTAAGTTTTTTCTCTCCACACAATGCAGAGACCCCTTGTGCATACATTTGACAAAAGTTATCTTTTTGAATGCCTGCGTCAGATGGATCCCTTTCCATATAATGGACGAGATCTGTGTTTCAGCACTTTTTGCAGATGACTGAGTGCCTCCTTCTGGAGAGGGAGTGAGATTCAAGCCACTGTAGTTTTAGTCTTTCTCTGACATTGCTCTGAATGTTTGACACCTGCATATTTCATCAGCCGAACAGGTTTTGAGTTCAGCTGACGTGAATATCTAACAGCCTTGCTCAGGCCCAAGGCAGCTTCTTTGGTTTGCGAGACTGCCCTTCAGCAATGACATGATTAGAAACATGCTCACTCTGTGGCAAGCTAGGCATAGCACTATTTTATTCTGCTGCTACATTGTTCTGTGATGTGCCCCACCTTGGGGGTGTGTGTGTCCCATCCTTAAAGACTGCATAAAAGTAAGGAAAGTAAATAATTAGTGAAGTTGAGTCCCGAGGACAAGAAATTAAATGAAAATTTTCATTTCTTCTGTTTGTTTCTTCTGTATTACCATTCCTACCAACAGAAATTATCGAAACACCAGTATTGCACTTGGAAGAAGCTTGACGGAACTAGTTTACCCATGTGTACCTGACGTGTTATTGAGCGTAACTGCATTTCGATTATCAACATGCTGGGGAATTTCACAATAAGTTTAGAACTGTTTCCTAAGCCCACGCAGCATAGTGGCATATCCTTTGCTGTAGAACCAACGGCACCATAAATACTGTAGGAATGAGGACGTTATTTCAACTGATCCAGGTGTCCTAGCAATCAGTAGGTCTTCATGTGGCACTTCATTTTGCAATCAATAGATTTTTATGTGGTTCTTAATTTCCACTAGTCCCCTCCCTTGAGTCTCTTTCACAAGCCACTGGATCAATGTGACCGCCGAACCAGTATGATCAACTGCTTATGAGACAGAAATGATGAGTCATCATAGTCCTGACAGGTTAGATGACTGCATCAATAGCTTTTCTCAGCACTTGTTAAGTGGCATAATATAATCTTCCTGTCAGTTGTAAATGCCTGCACGGTTCAATATTCCATATTTTCCACCTTAAAGCAGGCCACAGACTTCTCCCATTCTTCAGAAAGAGGACTGGGCTACCATCTGAATAGCTGTAACTGAGTCCACTTTAATACGGGTGTCTTCCTGAGCGTTAACTGAGCTACGCAAGAGAGGTTGTTGCAGAAAGCAGTGCTATCTTCTCATTACAATTCTTTCCTTTTTCCTTTTCTCCTGAATTAGATTTGCTTTGAGGTGTGTCGAATGGAGGGGATGAGGAGGAAGATGTCTTACTGAAAATATTGTAACTAGATTCTTAATGGGCTATCTGCTTGCCAGCTTCCCGCTTATACTCTGTGTTGTTATATAGGTGCACCACACAGGTAGATTTCAAGCACTGCTCAGAAGAACACAAACTCTGCATTTGCCTTGCTTGGGTTTTTAAAATCTTTTTTTAAATTTTTTAATGTATTCTTTAATTTTATTTGTTTTGCAGGCTAATATTGGACAAATGGACACTCCCAAAGAACTCTGGAAGATGATAACAGGGAACATGGCTCTAATACAGGTGAATTCTGGCAGTGTTTATTATGTGTTTGAGCATCATAACTATTAGTGTGGAAGGAGCTTGCAAAGGAAATCATTTCTAAACACATCAGCTGTGTAGTCATAATCCCAAATAGGGTGAGCGCTCTATTGCCGGCCATTCCTGCCGTATCCCTTTTTTAACATCTGACTTGGCAAAAAGCCGACTGAGTCCTTGGCAACCAATTGGTCAAGAACCTGCTTAGCACGAACTGCTATGGCAGTGCAGCAATTGCCAGGGCACTAGGTAACTTCAGTTGCAGAGGTGGGAAATGGGTGGCCTTTCAGACATTGTGCTACTGCTTCCATCACCCTTCTCCATTGGCTATCCTGGCTGGGACTGATTGAAGCTGCTGCAGTCTAACAATATCTGGAGGGCCACATCCCTGTTCTATTGCTCGTGGCTGCTGGTACACAACAGCGGTAGCCCTCTGAATGGTTCTGTGTCATTGGGAATAGGAACTTGATGTTGATTCTTTTTCTTCACCTGATTGCATCATTTAGGTTCAAGCAACAGTGGTTGGTTTTCTGGCCTCAATAGCTGCAGTGGTGTTTGGCTGGATTCCAGATGGACACTTCAGCATCGGCCATGCCATTCTTCTTTGTGCTAGCAGTGTGGCCACAGCCTTCATAGCCTCCCTTGTCCTGGGTAAGGGGCAGAGACAACTGGGGGCAGGGTAGGGGGGTGGCTTGTCTTTCCAGCAAATTGAACATTTCCCCTTCTGGTCTCTAGGCATGATCATGATAGGTGTGATCATTGGCTCCAGAAAGATGGGCATCAACCCTGACAATGTGGCTACACCTATTGCTGCCAGTCTTGGCGACCTCATCACCTTGGCTCTCCTCTCTGGCATCAGTTGGGGTCTCTACATAGAACTGGGTAAGTTTGAGGAGGGTGTGTGGTCTGCAGAACTGAAAGGGACCTATGGATCACCAAGTCCAGCCCCTTTCAGGAGGCACAGTGGGGACTCAAACTTCCAACCTCTGACTTTGGAAACAGCTAGATACTGAGCTATCCAACAGTTATAAAACATTATGTTAATTCCCTATGGCAGTTAGTTATGAGTTGCCAATCTATTCCCATTAGTCTGTTCTTAAAATATAGTTTCACATGTACTGGCCTGACGCAGGCATAATGATGACTCACTGCAAGCATTCTTTTCTGAATCAGGAGGTACTCTGGAATGTGTGCTATCCTGTCCTTCCTGTCCGGGAGCCTATATAATAATATGAGAGGAGTCATGCAAGTGCAAACCAAAGGCCTTCCTAGTCTGGCATTCCGTTCAAGCATAGCCACCCAGTTGTCCGTGGGAAGCCTGTTATCATTTGCCATTACCTTTGTCAGTGTCATCCATTCTTGACAGTTACATGTGTACCTATACAAAGCATGCTAACTGGGTTCCCTCCCTAACCACATATGTTAGAGTAGAAGGGAGCCAGGACTGGCATTGGTGTGCATATAATTTCTCAATCATGAATGCTGCTAGCAGTGGAAGAGAAAGGGGAGGAAATGCTGGCTCCCAATTTCTAAACCATGGCTTGTAGGGATTGAGCAATATATCTCTGCCAGACTGTGCTTCACATTTCAGTAGTTTCTTATACTATTTCTGTAGTATTGAATGATCATTTCAGTAAGGATTAAACTACATTGCTGTTAGACTGCTACACTGCTTCTTGGTTTAGGCCCAGAGGAAAAGTGGTAGTTGTTCCAGGCATTTATATATTGAGTATATGAGATACAGTCGTGCCTCGCTTAACGAGGATAATCCATTCCAGCAAAATCGCTGTAGAACGAAATCCTTGTTAAGCGAAATAAAAAAGCCCGTTGAAACGCATTGAAAACCCTTCAGTGCGTTCCAGTGGGCTGAAAACTCACCGTCCAGCGAAGATCCTCCATAGGGGCGGCCATTTTCGCTGCCTGTAAAGCGAGGAATCCATCCTAGAAAACAGCAGGGGGGAATTTTGTTCACCCGGTGGCCATTTTGAAACCCGACAATCAGCTGTTTTTAGATCATCATAATGTGGAAATCGAAGCGATTTCCTCATTAAGTGAGGCAATCGTTAAGCGAGGCACCACTGTAAGTTATAATTCATTCATTCATTCGACTTAAATCCAATTTTTAACAGAGCTGGGACCAAAAGTGGCACACCAAATTAAAACAGGGACAGGTATAAGTAGTACATGTAAAATTAGACAAAATTACATTAAAACCCATTTAAACAAAGTATATTAAAGCACCAATTTAGAAACATATAAGCAAAACCCACAGCACCTCATTTCTCATTAGGGTGTCATTTACCAAAAACCTGCCTGAAAAATGGTCTTTGTCTTTTCTACTTAGATTCTGTTGTACTGCTTTAACAATATCTGTATGGTTGCATTCAAGCAGTCTGTGAGGTTAGACAGTAAGTTACTGTTGGATTTCCTACTACAGTGGTGCCTCCACTTATGCCCATAATCCGTTCCAGAAGATGGTCGTAACTCGAAATGGTCATAAGTCGAAGCACCATTTCCCATAGGAATGCATTGAAATGCAATTAATATGTTCCGGATGAAGAAAAAATCACCAAAAAAAATCATTGCAAGACTCATAGGAAACACGATTAATCCCTTCTTGCCAAAGTGTTGGGGGGGGAGAAGAGCAATTAAGTGTGCAAGACCCATTGGAAATGCACAAAAAACAAACGGAGCAGATCGGAAATGCACAGAGAACAAAGGGGGCAGGTTGGAAATGCAAAGAAAACAAAGGCAAAAGCAAGGAAAGCATGCAGGACCCATCAGAAATGGAGAACCCCCCAAAGGGGGAAGCAAAACAAACAAACAAAAAAACCCCAAGACTCATCACAGCACAGAAACATAAACCCCTCTCAGCTCAAAACCACACTGCAAAAATACAGTTTTTAAAAAGCAGAAAACAGCACCTTACCTAACAAGGCAGCCTGAAGCCTCCCTGCATACACACACACGCTCTCAGAAGCAGAAGGAGGCAGTCCCAAGCCTCAGAGCTACAAAGAAGCAGCCTCGTCGCCACCTACAGTTAGCAATTTGAATTTCCCACCTTTTTCCCCTGCCTTTTTCTGTTCGTAAGTGGAAGCTCCGGTTGCAAACAGAAGCAAAATTTTGCAGCTGGAGCTGGTCGTAGCTCAAAATAGTTGTAAGTAGGGACGTTCATAAGTTGAGGCACCACTGTACTAACCTCTTACAACAAACATTTAGGTGCATATGTATAAAAATGTTTATTAGTAAAACCACCACAGCAGATGCACTCTTAATGAAAGAAAACATAGGTATGGTGGGCAGAAAGTAGATGGTGCTATACTGACAGATGTCTGAATGATTTAAAGTTGGTCAGCAAATATTTCCAACTCCCTGCGGTTTAAGAATCATTTTTTAAAATCCACGTTCATTGGGTCGTTGAAGTTAAGAAAGCTTTTGTGGCAAATGGCTATGAGCTTACCTCTGGTGCTCTACATGAATTTCTGAGTTCAGAATATGCTTATTCAGAGAAGCACTCTGCTTGTTCTTTCTGAATGCCCACCTTTTACAACAGACTCTAGTTAGTAGATTTGGGAGTTCTAGTTCAAAAAGCAAGTCAATTGAGTGAGCCTGGAATCTAGTTTCCTGATGTAGGATGTTTCTTCTGTTTTTTTCTCCTGAGTGACAAGCATGTACCTTCTTGAGTGTAGGTTTGACGTTTGATCATAAACCTAAAACTTGAAAGACACTCTGGGCAGAAGTCCCGAGGCATCCTGTGTTTAATGGAAGAACTTGTCAGCAGTTTGCACAATAGATGCAGTCTGAGTAGAGGTGACCTAATGCTCTGACTTGTGGAGGGCTCAGCCTTGTTTGTACCACAAACAACTGACATCTCAATCAGTAATATGGACTGGAAGATAGCAAACATGTATACAGCATAGAATAGCAGCATAGGAACATAGATAGAGCTATTCTGAAGAAACCTTAGACTGCAGCAGTCATTGGAGAGGGGTGCAAGAGTGTTTATGAGTTTTGCACACATACGATCTTTCTATTATTATTGAGATGTTTAATTCCAGCCATGGTCAAAAGGGGGTATGTTTCTGCATCAGTGAGTGAAACTGAAATGTGGCCCCCATCTTATCATTTCTTGTCTCAATGCAGTGGCTTCTCGCCCAGCATTGCCTGTTCTCTGACCTCTTGCATATCTTTTTTCTTCCAGAGGACAAGCCTTATGTGAATCCTTTGGTGTGTGCTTTCTTTATTGCACTGCTTCCCCTTTGGATCATCATTGCCAGGAGGAATCCAGCAGCCCGGGAGGTCCTTTACTCTGGCTGGGAACCAGTTATTATTGCCATGGCCATTAGCAGGTAAGAAAGCTGCAAATAGCTTTTTACAAGGAAGGATGCCTGGAGCTCAAGATCTAAGCATTTGAAACTGTCTTCTCCTGGAGTTTGGGGGTCAGTCATTATGAACTACACTTCTCACAGTTCTTTGGGATTCCCAGTGTGATGTAGTGTAGTGGATAGAGTGATGGACTAGGACTCTTGAGAGCAGGGTTTGAATCCCTGCTCAGCCATTAAAACTGACTGGAGGCCAAAGATTCTTCAGTCCTAACCAACTGCCTGTGTTTTATGTACTGTCATGTCATAACTGACTTACAGTGATCCTAATAGAGGTTAGGAAAAATATAAAACTGATGGAGGCAAAAAATGTTTTTCATTTTACTTAATCTAAGCTGTTCTTGAGAAGACAGTTCAGAGATTGAAATGTGTTAAGACATCCATGTAAAGGTGCCATTTGAAACTTAGATCTACCGTATTTTTCGCTCCATAAGACGCACAGACTTTCCACCCCCCTGTTTTGTGGGAAAAAAGTGCGTCTTATGGTGCGAAAAATACGGTACTTAATCTACATGCTTGTTCAAACCCAACTTTTCACTGATATATCTTGGCCAAATGCATACAAAAGCCCTTACCTTTAATTGAGGAATGGGCAAAGTGCAGCTCTCTGGGTGTTGTAATACTACAGTTTGCACCATTCCTCACGCCGTACGCGGAGCCCAAGTCCTCCATACAAAGCATGTTACCATAGTCTCTGGAGACTGAAGGATGCCTATGATGACCATTCCTCACTAATGGCTATGCAGCCCGGCAACAGCTTTGCCTACCCAGGTATTAGTCAAAGGGCAAGACAAGTACTGTCTCTTCCAGTTGTCATGCTAAACTGCTAACACATCAAAGAACCCAAGTTATATACAGTGGGCCCTCGATTTACGGAATTAATCCATATTTGAACTGTGGCTGCAGGTCGAAAATTCCATAGGTCGAGGGCCCATTTCCCATAGGAATGCATTGAAAACCCATTAATCCGTAACTGGCTGAAGAAAAATGTCTGGGGCTTCCAAAGCTGCACCCACTGCCCTCTGCCTTCTGTCCCTACTGTCCTCTGCCTCCCACCCCCCTGGGGACAGAAGACAAGAGGCCAGTGGGTCCAGCTTTCTAAGCCCAGAAAGCCGGCAGCGGGCGCGGCGCGGCTTTCGGGCAGATCGGCTTTCGGGGCTTAGAAAGATGCACCCACTGGTGTCTCCTGTCTGCGGTGCCCTCTGCCTGGCAGAGGGCAGCAGGGATGGGAGGCAGAGTGTCCACTGGGGACAGGAGGCAAGAGGCCAGTGCGTCCAGCTTTCTAAGGTTCGAAGGCTGACAGTGGGTGCAGGGCGGCTTTTGGCTTCCAAAGCTGTGAGCGGGGGGAGGCGGGGAAAGCTGAAAGCCACTCTGTGCTGGCTCTCAGCTTTGGGCTTTTAGGGCTTAGAAAGCTGGACCCACTGGGCACCAGGGACAGGAGGGAGAAGGCCAGTGGGTCTAGCTTTCTAAGCCCTGAAAGCCCAAAGCTGACAGCCGGTGCAGAGAGGCTTTCCCTGCCTCTCCCTTCTGGTCCGTAGGTCGATTCTCTGGCCGCAAGTCAAAGTGAAACTTTGCAGCCAGAGAAGTCTGTAGGTCAAAAAGTATGTAAGTGGAGCCGACCGTAAGTCGAGACTCCACTGTATGAAGCCAGTGAAGTCTACCTTGTGAAGAGGTTTGCTTATGACTCTGCTTACCTACTCTAAATGGCCCGTTTTTAAATAATTATATCTCAATCCCTCAAAAGCAATTGGTATGTTTGTATTTAGTGCTTTTAGTATGCATCCAGTCTTTTTGGACATTATTGAAAACAAAGATTTTGACTAATACTCAGGCTAATTATTTATTTTAATTCACTTAATTATTTTGTGCTGATGTTTCTTCTGCCTTCTTCAATGATTTCTTCAATGCTTCTCTTTGTAGTGTTGGAGGATTGATATTGGGGAAAACAGTGTCAGATCCAAATTTTGCGGGGATGGCAGTCTTTACTCCAGTCATAAATGGTGAGTTTCTCTTTGCTCATGACAACCACACATCAGATGGGTTGAGGTTTAGGGGATTCAAAATAAGAGTCTTAAATAGCTCAGCTGCTGCGCTTTAAATGGGGACTAGAAGCTTTCTGTTGAAATGGTTCATCTACCAGCATCTTGATATTCATCTAGAGACCTAGAATAGAGTTTTCATTAGGATAGTACAATTCCTCTAGACCACTTTCTCTACCAACTGGTTCTACAGTCAACGGAAACAGGACTGAGCTAGGACCGTGCTGTGTACTGTCATGAGTTTGGACAACACTTTGCAAACAAAAGATTTATGGTGTATTTGCTTCTTGTGAAAAGCTCTTGTGGTACATGAGTAGTAGCCCCCAAACACAAATGTTCTTCTGAAGACAAGGTGCTTGAACATAACGGGCAAGCAGCTCCAGAGGCTCTTAGTTTGATGTGTATCCAGCATTTCCTTCAGTAAATTTAAAGACCAATTGCATGGTTCTTCTCTTTTGTGCTTTACCCTTAAAGGTGTGGGTTTTATGGCTTAGTAGGGATTTCAGCTTGGGTCTGTCTTCTACTCTCAGTGGATTATCTTGAGCAGTCCTTTGGAAGAGACAGGTTATGTGTAAAACCTACATGTGAACAGATACTACTTCTCTGTAGACACAGCCCTTTGCACGTGTTATACCAATTCCGTTTGCTTTTGACTTCCAAATAGATGCTTCCCAAAACAGTGGTGCTGCCCACTGGATCAATTTTTTTTACCTTGGATAGGCAGTCCATAGGTCACTGTAATGGCATGTCCCAGTGACAGCACCAACACCCCTTATTTGCAGGAGAATGGATTTAGCTCTGCACTGAACCCAGAGCAGGAGCATAGTTCGAGAGGACTGGTAAAGAGAGAATATTCCTAATGTAGGGGCAATATATATGCCATCCTCACAGTAGCTGCAGCGGCCTAAGCCAATAAAGTGGACACGAAAAGGAAAGACTTAGGTGCTTGGAAACTCTGCAGCAGGATTGGGTAGTAGGAGGTTGAAAGTAGAAGTGAGAAAAGGATGTGGGGGGAGGGGAAAACCATTTAGAAAAGATGGGAAAGCAGTCATCCTTCCAGCAAGAGGGATACCTTCGGCAGACACATCATTTGATTACAAAACACACCCACCATGTGCTGGCACAGAAATCAAGACTTGAAAAAATGGAGTATAAGGCAATGTATTAGTTTTTCTTGCCACCTCTTGACAATTTCACTGCAGTGTGGACTGCCACCACCTCAACTTCATCCCAGTTCCTTGTTGGTGTTGTGTTGCGATGAGATGTGAATCCAGTGAGTAAGGAAACTCCAAGTGATATATCTCATGACATTAATGCAGTCAGAAGTGTGATGTTGCCCCCCTCCCGGTCTGAATTCCCACAATTATAAATAATAGAAAATACATACCAATGCATCTTAATTTTCAAGGAAAGCTTATATTCTCTTGGCTACAGTCCTGTTAGGGGTTATGTATGGTTGTCTCTTGAAAGTAACATTTTAGACGGGATAGCTGTATGCAGGCATGAAAACTGTTTGTAGAATGTGTTGATGTTGGACATCTGTTGGTGAAGCTTCAGTGCAATGATCAGAATGGCGATCTGTCTCTTTATCCCTGCAGGTGTTGGTGGAAATCTGGTTGCTGTCCAGGCTAGTCGCATCTCCACTTATCTCCACATGGGTGGGGTGCCTGGAGAGAGTCCAGAAACAATTTCCCGGAAATGCCCAAGTCCTTGCAGCACTTTCTTCAACTCAGGTAGCCTCAAAGCACATAATGTGCCCTGTTTTTGAATTTGCTTTTATTGTTACAGGCCATTACATCACTTCTGACTTAGGTCAAAACTATGAATTAGTCTAGTCAATAGTATCTCTGTTCAGGTGTTCTAGACTCAAGGCTGTGGTTCCCTTTACCAAGTCAGTCCATCTCATATGTGGTCTTCCTCTTTTCCTTCAGCTTTTCCCAGCAGTGAGGGAGGGGGGTTAGATGCCAAGAAATGTGATAGCCTTATTTTAGTCATTTTTGTGTCTAGAGAACACAGGCTTGATTTGATGTCATATCCTCTTATTTATCTTTCTGGTTATCCATGATAACCAGAAAGATCTCCTCCAACACCATATTTGAATACATCCCCTTTACATTGTAGGATCTTAAAACTTGAAATTGGGGTGGCACTACATCATGGAAAAGAAAGCTGATTGTTCTGCTTTAAATATGCACACCTCTAGTCCTGTTTGCAAACCAGTGTAAGCACAGATCCTCTAGACTAATGGTTCCCAACTGTGGGTTCCCAGATGTCCTTGGACTGCAACTCTCAGAAATCTCAGCCAGCACAACTGGCAAAGGTTTCTGTGAGTTTTTGTCCACGAACATATTGGGACCCAAGGTTGGGAGCCACTGCTTTGTATAGATTTGTATAGAGGTCTGCTGTCATATCCTAGATAATTTGGAGAATCTTGTGTGATAATAGCTTGGATAAGTGATTTTTCTTATTACAACTCTGAGTCCCTCATGACTGAAGTTGGCTGTAGAACACTCTGGGAGGTACAGTTCAAAATACTACAGACAAATTACATGTTGATCCTGCAACATTATTTGTCAATCTTTGCTTATCCTTTCCCTTCATGATGAATATGGTCTGTAACTAAGCCTGATACAGTATTTTAAATTAAAGCTTTTTAATTATGCAGGAGATTACAGGCCATAGATACAGAATTATTTGAATCTCTTGTTAGTACTACAGAACTCATTAGCAAGTCCAAAAATTCTCAGTTCTTTTACTAGGACATTGCCTTCTAGCTTCTGTTATGGTTGTATACTAAGAAGCTGACTCTGGTGCAGCCCACGGAATTCTATAGGTACTATATATCTTGGCTCTGCATTTATAACTGTCCTGTATACAGAATAATATTGGTAATGAATAGTGCACTGCTTCATTCTAACATGCTATAACCCAGTGGTTCCTCAAGAATTTTAAAAAGCAAAGGACATCATGTTTGTTCATATGAAGCATCTACAGCAGTGGTCAGGGAACAGGGGTAAATTACCCCGAATGGGGTAAAAATGAAAATCCTGGGGGTAATGAGGATGGTTGCGGCAGCATGACCCTCCTCATTACCCCCAGGCATTTTATTTCTGACGATACTGTGTGTAGGCGGGCATTCCGTCGCGGGGAGAGTGAGCGCTGGTGAGGAGGCCCCCTTCCCGCCCCACCTCACCTGAGCTCATGGCCGGTGGACCTGCTGACCCTGCAGTGCCTGGCTCCCTTCACCAAGGATGCACTTTCCCGGCAGCGTAGCAGCTCCAGACTGGCTGCTCGGGTGGCAGCTGCAGGTCCTGGGTGAGCACAGAGGTGGGGGGGTCAGCAGCGGACAGCAAGAGCGGAGGGGCAGTGCTGGGAGGGGGCAGGATAATGTTGGTGTATATAATTTTGGGGGGGGGGGTAAAAGAGAAAAAAAATTCCCTGACCCCTGATCTACAGTATTCACAGTTGGGGAGCACCTTTATTGAGATTAATCAGAATGTCACAAAATGGTGTGTAAGCTTCAGAACTCTGGGCTCTTCATTAGGCTAAGTAACACAAAACATACCACCCATCCTGATGGGAAAAAGCAAAAGTACATATGCAAATGATAATTTCATTCATGAAAAAGCAAAAGTACAAAAATGTGGCCAGATGTAATAGTTAAATCTTTGTGTTTGTTTGTTTGTTTTGGTCTTCTGTCTTGCAGATTTGAATTCCCGGTCTGCTCGGGTGCTCTTTCTCCTGGTGGTTCCTGGCCATTTAGTTTTCCTTTATACGATCAGCTCCATGAGGGCTGGCCACACAACACTCACCTTGATCTTTATAGTTTTCTACATGACTGCGGCACTTCTCCAGGTATGCATTGACTTTAGATGCTTGACTTTTCATGTTGGTAATGAGACTGAGGTGCAGCTATACAGCAAGGGAAATGCAAATTCACTTACCTTCACTTACGATGAAGTTGCACCACAGAAACTGGGTCTGTGCATACTCAGCAGTCAGGGCTTCTTCCAGTTGTTGCCCAAAAGATTTGGCACATTCCAGATGGCCTATCTCTATTCTAGAACATTTGTTCTCTGTCTGCCTCCATATTTTCTTAACTAATGAGAAAATGCTTCAAAACTTTGACAGTGCTGAGACAGACACCAGTAAAAAAAATGTGAAATTCTGGGTTCTGACTAAAGCAGCCAACAAAAACACTTCCCAATTTGAAATTTGAAATTGTGTACAGGGCAGATATTAAACATATCAATAGTGTAATGTATATGAAATTTACTCTTAAGTCAGAATAGGCAATGTACATGTGTGAGCTGCATGTAATTACCATTGGGTCCAAATGCAGGATCTCAGCACCCCTACACTCCAAACATTTTTTAAAAAATAAGCAGGTGGAAAGCTCATCGTACCTTCTAGGGCATGTGTAGGGATCCTTCATTCTCGAGAAACTATGGTAACGTGCTCTGAATAGAGGTCTTAGAACAGTGTCTAGTGTAGCTGAGAGGGCCAATACGAGAATGACAATCCCTTCCACATTGAAGACAAATACAATCTGTCCCCTGTCCAGCTCACTGATTTTGCTGCTTCCGGGACTGCCTCTTTGCCTCGGCATGCTGGACAAGTGTCTCTTCAAATTGGGAGAGGCCATGCTGCACTGCCTGCCTCCAGGCTGAATGTTCAGTTGTCAAAGTTTCCCATCTGTTGAGGTCCATTCCTAAGGTGTTCAGATCCCACTTGCAGATATCCTAGTATTGCAGCTGTGGACTTCCTGTAGGGCGATTTCCCTGCACTAATTCTCCATACAGGAAATCTTTTGGAATCTGACCATCAGGCATTCTCACGTCATGCCCAAGCCAAAGTAGACGTCACTGTTTCAGTAATGTATACATGCTAAAAATTCAGCTTGTTCTAGGACTACTCTATTTGGAACTTTGTCCTGCCAGGTGATCCCAAAAATGCATCGAAGACAACGCATATGGAATGTGTTCAACTTCCTCTCCTGCCATGCATAAAGGGTCCAGGACTCACTGCAGTACAGGAGTGTACTCAGTACACAAGCTCCATAGACCTAGATCTTGCTATATGCCGTCAGCGTCTTATTCAGCCATACTCTCTTTGTGAGTCTAGAGAACATGGTAGCTGCTTTGCGATGCGTTTATCCAGCTCGACAATTAGAGAGAGAGTGTCAGAGATCGTTGAGCTAAGGTACACAAAATCATGAACAACCTCGAATTATTGCGTGGAAATGGTAATAGAGGGAGGTGAGTCCATGCCCTGGCCCATGACTTGTGTTTTCTTCAGGGTGATTGTTAGTCCAAAATCTTGGCCTTACTAAAACGATTCATAAGTTGTTGGAGCTCTTCAGCAGAATGGGTAACAACAGCTGCATTATCTGTGAAGAAGAACTCCCGCATGCGAGGTCAATTTTGCAAATTTTTTTTTGGAGGGGCTTAAAAAACCATTGATACCTTCACCCCCACGCAAAGAACATGGGAAAATGTTTTTAGTTGTTTCTTAAAAATGCCATTGCTACCTTCACCCCCACGCAACATGGGGGGAAAAATCTCCACTAGGGGGCATAAGGTGACTTTTTTAAAAGTTAGAAAGTTAAAACAAACAAACTTTTTTAAAGAAAATAGTGCTTGAGGAAATGAGAGTGGACACAGCCTTTCAAGATCCAGAGATGGCTGTATGCAGTCCCCAAACCCTGCAGATTTCCCACCCCTGTCTTAAATGACTAGAAGCTTTTTGAAGACAATCACAAATCTTTACAGTAACACGTTAATAGAACAAACAGAGAAACCTACAAATAAGTAAAGCATACATTCCGTATGAAAACTATCAATGAAAAACCATTGTATGCCACATAAAAAATAATCCATTATTGGAGTTAGAGATTGAGGCCATATTCATTATATGATTAGCAATAAATTGCCTAGTCTTAAGCATTGTTTGGCACTGTAAAAAAGGGGTTTTTAACTGAACTGAGGTCTAAATGATTCCTTATAATCCATTCCATATTCCTGGTTTTCTTTGAGTGCTTTCTTTTTGTCTGTCTATCCATACCTTATGTATGTTGTATTTTCTTTATAATTATAGGTTAGTACACTCATATGCCTGCTCAAAAGGTCCTATGGAATAATTCTCAACTACATCTACGTAGGGCTACATACAATGTATATTTAGCATGAATGAGAAGATACAGTTTATAGAATTAGGCATTAATTGCCAGTGCGTTCTCACCACTTTCTAAAAACCAGTAGCCTGTTTCTTCACAGGATCATTAATAGACATGATTTTTGTTCACTGAATATATCTACATTCATCATTAGGATTTCTACCAATCGTGCAGTTTTCATGTGGGTACATATCACAGTGTAATGATTTTTAAACCATTTTCTGTTGTGCTCAGTGTTATTGAAAACGGAAGCCTTGAGTAGTTAAACAGTTATTGGTTTAATTTTGAAATAATTTCTGTAAATCTGCATTTGGACATGCAGATCTCAGTACCACTTGGTAATTGTTTGTGGAATAGGAATAGTATGAGAAAGCATTATCCAAAATATACGACATTTGTTTTGTCTAAGAACAATGTGCTTCTATTTGACACATTTTTTTAAAAAAAAATATAGTTTGCAGAGATTGATGAATGTGTGGGTGTTTTATGTTCATATATGTATATCAGAAATGTCAAGATACACAATTTTATTTAAAGATAATCTATTGTTATGACCTCCATTATTACTTATTAGATTTATACCCCGCCCATCTAGACAAATAGTCTACTCTGGGCGGCATTACAAAATTTTAAAACAATAGAACATGCAAAAATCCAAGATGTAAACATGTAAATATTAAAATACATTTATAGGTGTTCTTAAGGGTAAAACACTTCACAAAACACACTGTAACTAATTAAAAATATAAAGTACACAATGAAGTCCTGAAAACAGGATTCAGTACAGAAATAATTAAAACAACATGTTAGATACAACTCTGCTGCAGAGCAGCATATTTGAAAGCACACTACAAAGGAAGCAAATGCAAACAGGAATAAATGATTTCAAAATTTCATGCAAGCCAACAAAGAGGGGGCTATACATATTTCTGGGACGAGAGCATTGCAAGGATATGATGCTACCACCAAAAAGGTCCATCCTTCATATTTGCCACTCACACAGATCTTAGTGGTAGACCAGAGAGCAGAGCCTAAGATGCTAATCTTAAAGTTTGGGCACGCTGATTCAGGTCTAGACAGTTCTTTATCTAGCCAGGCCCCTAACCTTACAGAGCCTTAACATCTGGACACTTGGCTCCTACAAGCCTTCTGGTGACTGCATTCTGTAACAATACTACAGGGGTTGCACAATCTTCAGAGATCCAGGGACACAAATGCCCATCCATGGCAATGAAGCCTTGGGGTGCCACAGTGATCCATTTTGTCCCCCATGCTGTTCAATATTAATATTCTGGGATAGGTCATTTGAAGCTGTGTGCCATCAGTATGCTGATGACACCCAACTCAAATTCTCCTTGTCAGTAGAGTCAGCTGCATGTGCATTTTAGAGGCTGTAATGGGCTACGTGCAGGTGAATCCCAACAAGACAGAAGTTCTGTGGCTTGATGATTCCTATGTCTGGGAATTAGTTAGGTAACCTGTTCTGGATGGGGTTGCACTCCTGAAGAAAGCAGATACATAATCTAGAGGTACTTCTTGAGTAATATTTATCGATGATTCCTATGTCTGGGAATTAGTTAGGCAACCTGTTCTGGATGGGGTTGCACTCCTTCTGAAGAAAGCAGATACATAATCTAGAGGCACTTCTTGAGTAATATTTATGACTCAAGACTCAGGTGAGTGCAGTGGTTCAGAGTGCCTGGGGCCATGTTTAATTTGCCCACCAACTGTAACCATTCCTGGACAGGAGCAACCTGACTGCAGTAATTCATTCACTGGTAACCTCCCAACTAGATTACTGTAGTGCACATTATGTAGTGCTGCCCTTGAAGATGGCACATATCCTGCAGCAAGTGCAATATGTAGCAGCTAGACTGCTAGTTGGAAGAGTTTTCAGAGTTCACATGACACTGTTTCTGAAAAAATTGCAATGGTTGCCAATACTCTTTTGGTCAAAGTGATAACCTACAAAGGCCTAAATGGCTTGGGGCTTCGATAACTGAGGGAATACCTCTCCCTATATATACCTGGTGATAATTTAGATCTGCTGTGGGGGGAGGGACAGGCTCCTCCATGTCCCACCATGGATAAAGGTTCATTATGTGGAGACAGAGGGGAGGGCTTTCTCAGCTGCAGCACCTTGGTTATGGAATGCTGTTCCCTTAGAGGCTTGGCAAATGCCAACACTAAGTTCACTTCAGTGCGAAGTTAACTGAAGGCCTTTAGCGTCCTTGTTGTTATGAAGGTTTTGTTGTTATGTGTCATCAAGTCAAAAACAACTTATAGCAAACTTAGTAGGGCTTTCAAAATAAGTGAGACATTTAAAGACTGTTTTTACCAGTTCCATACCCCCAGTGAGCCCTGGGCCTCCTGAGTCTTAGTCATCAATCAATCTATCCACTATACCACACTGGGTATCCCTGACTGAGGATTTAATGCATGTATATAGTTTTAATATCTTAAAAGTTTTAAAATTGCATTACTTCATAATGTTTTTATTGCCGTACTCTACCTAGAGATCATAGATATGTTGTGTAGTATAAATGTTCTAAATAAATAGTATACCTTTAGTACTGAATCAGAACTGATGCTCTTACAGGAATATGCTAGACAATCTGTGTCTGTGTTACACTGGAACAAAATATATGTTAGCTGAAATCTGTTAGTGTTCAGGAGATGTGATTCGGGCAAAGTTTTGAGAAGCCATGTTTGCAAATGAAATCTCAGCTCTAACAACCAATCACAAAGCAAAGCAAGCTAATTTGCAAACTGAAGGAACTGGGGACAGCTCCTGTTATGATAATCAAATGTTTTCCTGCACAGGAATTGCTTCGGAATTCTTTCCTAATGACAGATTATCTGTAATGTACAGCTTGACCCCATATAACTGTGTGCAGTGGACAAAAAGGGCTGGTTCTGATGCCCCAATTGAAGACGAATAAGTAAACAGCAGTAGCATTTTTTTGTCTTGTACCTTGCTTGATGGCTAATGTCCTCATTCTGCTCCTGTCTTTTAGGTTCTCATCCTTCTTTACATTGCTGACTGGATGGTCCACTGGATGTGGGGCAGAGGGCTTGATCCTGACAACTTTTCCATACCGTATTTAACAGCACTAGGTGACTTGCTTGGGACTGGTCTCCTGGCACTCAGCTTCCATATCCTCTGGCTCATTGGGGACAGGGACACTGACGTGGGGGACTAAACCCACCATTCCTTGGCTTCTCCGCTCCCCAGCTTGTCTCCTTCAGTGACATTCCCCCTACATCTTTCCACAAAACGTTTCTCCCATCCTGTGTCTCTTTGGGACTTCAACTTTGATACTGGATTCTCATTATTTTCAATGGGAATTTTATGTGGTTTATATTTCAAGCCAAGTTTGTACAGAAAAAAAAATGTTTTAGGAAGGTTGAAAAAAATGTGTAAAGACAATCACCAAGTGCAATTTCATAATGGTTAAAATCTGAACTGTAGGGTATAATAGAAAATGGTTGATCAACAGATTTTAATGAAATCTCACTTTCCTCATTCAGCACCCACTCAGAGCACTAGATATAAAGGGCCATGTGCGCGCGCGAATGTTTAAGATGCAATTCAGGTTTGCTTTATTATTCAGCTAGGCACAAGGATTCCTCACTTGTTGTCACAATTCAGTTCTGAAATAGATTAAATATTTTGGGCACCCACCCCCTGTCTGTACTAGTAATTGGTCCGACTTTATCACAGGCAAGCCTTCCTGGCCTTGGAAAAGTCACGGCAAATTAGGGTAACAAAATCAAAGCTAATTGTGTTGGGTTGCATCCTGCTCCATGCTGCCAGATGTGAGTGCTTCCTAGCTCTTGAAAGAAGGGAAGTCTATCTGAAATAATCGTTAACTATCATTCCAAATTCATTCTCTGCTATTGAGGCTAGGAAAGCACGGCATAAGAGGAAATGCTGGCCCTGTGCCTGGCCCTTTTATGTTGGCTGTTCTTTGCTGCACATTGTGAAGTAACTGTTTTATGTTACAGTCCTCGTTTACCATATCCTGAAGAGACTGACAGTTGTGAGGTTTGTTCCTGCTATATGGCACCTATATCTCTTACCAAAACAAGTGGCAATTTTTTAAACAAAGGCTGACACAAAGTAAAGTATACCTCTAACTGCCCTTCTCTCTAACAGAGAATTTGATTTTCTCCCTACTGCTTTACATTGAACTATCATGGATGCTTACCTCACCTATTGCCTTTAAAACCTGTTGCCTCATCCATGCTGCTTTGGCTGTTCTGTAAATGGATCTGTAAAAAGGTTAACTGATTGTGTTAATACTGTCAACGTTTCTGAATTTTAAATTCCTGGGGTAACTGGGATGATGAAATTTCTGATGGTGGGCCATGCTGCCATGATTTGAAGTCTACTATGGTTGCTTTGCCTCCCTCAAGGTCTAGAGAAATCAACACAAGATTTTGAGGATAATCTCAAATTGGATATCTGTTGGATACTCCTCAGTATCAGCTCAATGGACAGTCTCATCCATATCTTCCATTCATAGTAATAGTTGTTTTGTAATGGAAAGCCTCCATACAATCTGGTTTTTGAGATTCTTCACTTGTATGCTTATTTGCCAGGCAGGTTAGCCTAGGCTCCTTTACATTGCCCAGTCTACATTTTGATATCATAAAAAATGACATGTACAGGCACGAAGCAGTACATGACAACAAGAGACATCTCATTTTCCAAAGACCATGTTTTTGCTTGTCTACAGCCCAGATGTTTTATTATATTGAAATAAATTGTTCTATTTTATAACTACAAATGTAGAGACATGCTGTTTGGTTTATTATTTTGTCAATTTTTGCCCAGTTACCCTATCTCTATCTGGGAAACTTTTATCCTTATTTGTGTCTCATTGTTGAGACATGCTGTTTGGTTTATTATTTTGTCAATTTTTGCCCAGTTACCCTATCTCTATCTGGGAAACTTTTATCCTTATTTGTGTCTCATTGTTATGTAGTTGATTTGGCTGCTAAGAAACTGAGATCACAACCATGTTTTGCTGGACACTGAGCTGTTTATTGAAAGGTTCTATTTTGTAAGCAGAGAGGGGTCTTCGATACCAGTCACTTTCTGTGGGCAAGGATTTTCTGTTCTGAAGTCAGTTTTGGATAAGTTATATTTTGGTAATAGGGATAAAAACCTGTTGGAGATTTATACCAGCCTATGGGCAAGATCCTGTTGGTGCATCTTTGCATGGTGTAACCCGAATTGGGTGCTGGAAGCATCTAATTTCAAGTAAGAATGCATGCGGCAACTCATTAATTAGAAGCAATTCACCATTCCAGTTTGCACAATGTCAATTACACCTGTGTAAATCCTGAATAGGATTGTGGCCTGTTTTTCTTACCTGTCTTCCAAACAACTGGGTCACAGCTGAGGAATGCTTGGAGCTGTTATCCAAAAAAAATACAGTAATTGTTTCCCACATTTGTGGTATGCACTATGTCCTCAAAATGTCAATATGCTCCATCTCCTGACATGTTGCTTAGACAGGTTGAAGCCTTGTGGAAATACTTTGAAACACATAGATGAAAACAGACATATTAGTTACATAAAATAAGATGTGTAAAGGAGATTCATTCAGTCATCCCAAGAATGTCAATTAAGATCTCAGGCTGTCTGTGAGTAGCACACAATAATGTAGTGCTGGATTTCCTTTGGTATTGGATTTGACAGTGGAACTAGAATTTTGGGAATTATTATCTATATGTATGTCACACTTGCTCCTTTTTGTAAGGAAAACTATTCAAAATGCATTTCCTCATCACAAAACTTTACTAAATCTTTTTTTCAAATTATTACTTGCTTCTGTATCAGCTTCTCCGCAAGAGAGCATCATTTTACGATGTTTGGTTCTTTACATTTTTCACTTTAATTGCTACTTGAAATCAAAGCAAAGAAAGCAAAGTGTCATGAGTGTGTGCCTTGAATAGCTGTAGTCTTGTAAAAATGGACCAGGCCCTACCTTTGGCTGTCTGGTTTCCACAGTCTCCAGTATAGATTGAATGCCCTTTTCTTTCAGAAATGTGGCTTTCCTGTTCTTACACAAAACATAATGTGAAAGATGGCTGGGCTTCAGCTATTATCTGGATATAAACAAAAGTTACTCTTGTAATTTGGATTTGAGGCTCTGGCTGAAACTACACCTAGACATCGTTGTCGTTTAGTCATGTCTGACTCTTCGTGACCCCATGGACCAGAGCATGCCAGGTCCTCCTATCTTCCACTGCCTCCCGAAGTTGTGTCAGATTCATTTTGGTTGCTTCATAGTGTTGCTATAATGGAATAAGGGGCTTGCACTGTGATTAAATGAAAGCTTTGGAGGGATATTAATGCCATAATGGTGCCTCGTGGGGACATTGGACCAGGGTAATTCTTAAAGTGCTGGCTAGATAGCTCAGTGGTTTAGGTATCTGGTTGCAGAGCCAGAGGCTGGGAGTTTGATCCCACACCGTGCCTCCTGTGAGTACAGCCAGCCTGTGTAACCATGGACAAGCTGCACAGTCCCAGGCCACTCCTAGAAGAAGGGAATAGTAAACAGCTTCTGGATATTCCGTACAGGGAAAACCCTGAAAGGAGTCACCATCAGTCGGAATTGACATCGTGGCACATTATTATCAATTATAAAGTCTGTAATTTGTCAACTGATGCTGTTTTAGGGGTGGCCTTTGGGCTTCAGTACCTTAATTTTAGACTGTGATGTAAGCAGAGCAGCCTTCAGATTTGAATATGAAGAGACAGCCTACAGGATCAAGCTGCAGAGGTGTGCATGGAATAACCTTTTCCTCTTGCATTGCCAGGTGGCCTTAATTGTTTGGGAGCAATTAAAATGGATTGCCTTCCTTCTGTGAATGGCAGTTCTTGCAAGTCTGAAAACTATATCCTTCAGACTTAAGGATCCTTCAGACTAAAATTAAGAATACATTCAGTGCTTCAGTTTTGTAAGTCAATAACTGTTCGACTGTATCCAAACAACTATTGTCTAGTGACATTCAAAACAGCCCGAGTGAGACTTCTGTCCTATCACCTGTTAAAACTTGCTTTGCAGTTTAAGGTTTATCCATCTCATCAATATGCATCTTGTTCTGTTGGGTGCATCAGACTTTTCAACTTCACACAACTTCCACAGTTTCACATACATAAAGCTCCATTGCAATATCCTTTCTTCATCATTACATCTGTTTTCTTAATAAATGTCTGTCTGCACATCACATTTAAGAATTTAACTCTCCTGGCTTTGGTTGCAAGGTGTAGCCCTCAGCTGAGGAGCTGAGGAGTTTGTGCCATTTCGATATATCGCAAAATTTTCTTGTCTACAAAGGGATGAGTTGGGAGAATGAGTGTACAAACAGAATATTGTTTAAAAGCTTTGAATAATTAATTATCACCGGTTGGACTCAAATGCATGTATATTTAAACCTGGCTCCAAATGAAGATGAAGCTATTGGTTTACACTTTCAGTACAGAATGGGGGGGGAGTCCCTAATTTATAGTTGCTGTAACTGAATGGACTGATGCCAATTTAAATGATAAAGTACATTTGGTAAAATTAAAATTGCGTTTATTTATATGTCTTTTGGTCTTTTATTTTTATTTCACTGAGTGTTCAGTTCTGGTGTTGACTAGTGACGTGTGGGGCAAAACAAAACAAAAGGAACTGGTACATCCACAAAAGTCCCAATTATAAATGAGAGACAAAGTGTCGGGATGTAGAAAGTAGAAACAAGCTCTTTATTCTGTATTTTTGAGTCATTAAAAAGCTCTGGCTCAACGCGTTTTGGTGAAGCCTTCTTCAGGAGCTGAGCACAATACAAAACACATTAGATATTGAATCATTCACATTTTCTTTTTTTAAAAAAAATTACACACACACAAAGGCTTGTGACTCAACTTTATATAAATACATGCATTTATACTAAGCACAATAGGCACAATAAAATATCAAACACTTACCGAGCTTCTTTATATTCTCTGCACCTTTCTTTGGTCTATATTAGTTCCAAAACTAATTGAAAGTGTTCAAAAGTGCAGGCACTAGGAGAGGAGGCCTTTGTACACAGCTGTGCAGGGTGGTGAGATAACCAGCCCAGCAGTGTTATCATAATAAAGTCTATTTCTTCATTTAACCCATGAGGTACCAGGGTGTTCAATTTCAGGATCCAGTCAATTTCCCTTTTTAGTTCCTTTCACAGTTTCCAGGAACTCTGTCCAAGGCTCAGAACACCAGATCTTTTATGGCATGGTTCTTTTCTGTAAAATGGCCAACTAGAGTACTGCCTAGTCATTTATTTCTTAAGTTACTAAGGTGTTCATCCATTTGTACTTTCAGAGGTTTTTCCTATGTACAGTTTACTACATAGGCATCTTATAGCATAGATTATTCCCTTGGTATTACAGTTGGTGAAATCTTTCAAGGTGTAAACCGTTTTGTTCTGTGGATCTATAAATTCTGACATGTGCTTTGTATTGCTGCAATAAACACAATGCCCACATGGATGATATCCTCTTGAGGGAGGGGGGGAACCCAAGTAAAACACTGGGAATTAGTGATGGTGTAGTATCAACCCTGAGTGCTCATTGGAAGGACAGATCCTGAAGCTGAGGTTTCAATACTTTGGCCATCTCACTAGAAGAGAAGACTCCCTGGAAAAGTCCCTGATGTTGGGAAAGTGTGAAGCCAAGAGGAGAAGGGGACAGCAGAGGACAAGATAGTTGGAGTGTCATCGAAGCAACCAACATGAATTTGAGCCAACTCCGTGAGGCAGTGGAAGACAGGAGGGTCTGGCGTGCTTTGGTCCATGGGGTCACAAAGAGTTGGACATGACTTAACGACTAAGCAACAACAAAATGTATCTTTGAATTAACTTGTATTATGCTCAGCTCCTCAAGAAGGCTTTGCTGAAATGCGTTGAGCCAGAGCTTATTAAGAACTCAAGAAATACAGAATAAAGAGCTTGTTTCTACTTTCTACATCCTGAGACTTTGTCTCTCATTTATAATAGTGACGTGTGGAGAACATTCTTGTGTGGTTTGTAAGAAATCATCCCAAAGACCATGGAATATGATGCCCTCTACTCATCTAGAACTTACTGGGCAATATAAACCTTGGATTTGCCTTTGGCACCAAGGCCAAGCCCTGGAAGTTGTAAAATCTCCAAAGTTTGCAATGGTCTTCCTAGCAAACAAGCAGAGTTGCTCCCTGTGATTCCACCTGTATTATGTTATATGCTATCAAGTCACATCTGGCTGATTGCAACTTTAATAGGGTTTTCAATCTACATGAGATATTTGAGTGGTTTTACCTGTCAATTTCCATGGCCAAAGGGGGATGTGAGCCTAGGTTTCCTAAGATATCAGTATATCCACTACACTGGTTCTCACTGGATTCCACCTACCCACACAGAAATGAAAGTCCATTCGTCTGAGGAATACATGCCAGACTGTGGCAAAGTTCAACAAATAAAGGATGGTACAGAATAAAACTAATACAATTAAAGAAAACTCCATGCAGTTAGTTGAACACTATACAGTATGTGATTATACAATTTAAATGATATGTTCACAAATCAGTTTAACCAGTATGCATATATATGTATAGCATAGTAACATGTCAATGTAACAGTAATACATATCACAACATAAATATACTGTATCTTCTATCAGTCACAAGGTCCAAGTGAGAAACTCCAAAATATAATAACAATGATGTCCATGGATAGTTCCTAACAAGAGGATTCAAATGAGCTCCGAGCATATCTCTCCAAAGTCTGGTGAAGATTGGGTTTCCCCAAGCCAACTGTTAAAGGCCACTTTCCTGGGTGACCCATGTACATTGATGTCTGAAAACCACTCTTCTCTAAACTTGGCAGGATTGTAGAGCAGCATCCTACCAAGTCTCTCTGTCATTTTGGTGTCTCTAGGTGCCAGGCGGAACAAATGTAAACTCGTGGTTCATTAACATTGATGAATCACGAATCAAAATGAATCACCATTTTTCTGATTCGTGCCCATCTCTGCCATGCACCAGTGAACAAGCTGGGACAGTAAATAAAACTTGAGTTGTTGGGAGGATTGCCCCTACAGATCCGATGGACCACCAGAAAGACAAATGAGTAGGTATTAGATTAACTCAAGCCTGAATTCTCTCTAGAACCAAAAACGAGAAAACGGAATAAGTATTTTGGCAGATAGCAAAGGCACACCGAAAAAAACAATAATAAGAGAAGCAGACAGTCAACAGGGGAAAAGGAAGACTGAAATGCCCAGGATGAACTGATTGAGAGAAGTGCGGGGGGGATTTTTTAATTGGCAAGACCCGAGAAGGGCTGGAAACAACAGGGGCTTTTGGAGGTCATTATTTTTATAGGGTTGCCATGTCAGACGCGGCTGAAAGGTGGACCACCCCCCCTCAACGTCCCGCCCGACCTCAGCCCCTCGAAGGGCGGCCCATCCAGAACACGTTGCCTACACAGGGCTAGATCAAAGAACGAAGAAACCCCCGCTCCCCCTGCGCATGCCGGGTAATGTAGTTTTATACGTGTTGCAACGCCCCCACCCTGCCCTCTCACATGACAGGCAGGGCAATGCGGAAAAGACCCGGGGGCCAAGAAAGAGCGCGGATACCTGGCCCCGTTTGCGAGCTGAAGAAGTGCGGCCCGAAGTTCCTCGCGGTGGGGGCCTCGCCTTAACTCCTCCCCCGCCGCCCCCCCCCACAGGTTTGGAAAGCCGCCGCGACTTGGAGACGCCTTTCCTGCAAGCTGCGCGGCTTCGCTGCCCGACGGAGAGGCGCTGCGCCGGCTTCCTGGCCGGCGAAGGTGCCGCTCGAGCTGGTCTCGGTTCTGGGCCCTCCGAGAAACGTTGCCCTTCTGATCGGAAAAGTAGAGGGCTTCGGAGCCCTTGGCTGGGATCGAGCGAGCGGGCGGCTGAAACCCTTGCACTGCACTGCCTCTTTGAACTTTGCGAAGCGAAAACCCTGCCTGCAAGGGGAAAGGAAAAATTAAATGCGAAAAAAGTGCCTATTCGTTTTTATCCGCTTCCCCCAGTAATGGAAACTTATGCGCTCCACGTCTCCTTTTTTTTGTAAACAAAGAGATGCTTTGCAGACGCCGACTCTGGAGACGTTAAGGTTGGGCCCTCCTGGTTTTTTAGCGGCTGGCGTGTGAATGCGCAGGGTTTTTTTCTCTGTAAGGAAGAGCGAAGTGTCCAGTTTTTCTTTTTTTCGCGTGGAAGAAAATAAAAGTGTTTCCTTTTCTTCTGCCCTGTTTTTTTTTAACTGTTCCAAATCATGGTGGGCCATCACGACCACATGTTCAAAGTGCTCATTATTGGAGATGCCACTGTTGGGAAGACGTCGCTGGTCCAGAGATATGCGAATGATAGTTTCAACAAACACTATAAATCTACGGTAGGAGGTGAGTGTTGTGAGGTTTCTCACCCGTTAGTGTGTCAGAATAGCGATTTGGTATAAGATCAGCCCCCCCTAAAGATTTTTTTTTAAGCCAAGCCTTGCTTTTCCTGTATATAAATATGTTTTGTTGACTGTAAAGTTTTGCTATCTGTTAGTCTTCAGTCTGATGAAGAACTCTGTGAAACTCAAAAGCTTTCCTCCTATTTCAGCGGCAGCAGTAATAATTAAAGATAGGGTATTGTTTCTATTCCTGGGTTTTTTTGGGGGGTGTGTGTGTGGATGTTGTATTTCTCAGTTCCTCTTTGTGTCTCATTTATGTTGCAACCAAGTTTTCTCGGTCAGTTTGGGAAATAGTATGCTACTGAATCTGTGAAGATTCTCAGTCCTCCCAGTGAGGTTATCTGGAAGTTGAATCATAGCAACTGGACTTATTTCTTGTTAGGCTGAAACATTTTGTTACTTATCCAAGTAGCTTCTTCAGTTTGAGGAGACCTGGTAGGAGACCCTTGATATATCCTATGCACTGCTCTCACTTCTCCCTGGTCTGAATAGCTTCACTTCTGCTTGGTCAGAGGAGGGGGAAGTGAAACCAGTGTGGAGGATATATCATGGATCTACTCAGACTAAAGAAGCTATTTGGATGAGTAGCAAAAGGTTTCAACCTAACTAGAAGTCCAGTATGTTACTGAAGGGTCTTAATTAAATGTACTGAAAGTTACTTACAGTCATGCTAGCTGTTCTTAAGTAATTACAGTTTGCTACCTAGACTTGGGTTATGTAGTTTATATTCTTCTCTAGGAGATGTTTATGTTAAAACACTGGATTATTGTGTCAGGATTGGCTGAATCTGGGAAAATTATTTTTTGGATTTCACTAACAGAATCCTTCGGTGATCACAGCCAATAATTATCCACCTTGTGATTCTGGGATTTGTGATTTTAAAACAAACTTTTCCAAAATGTGGTTATGCATATGTACTTTCATGTTGTTTCTTAATAGAACCTCTTTAATCAAACTACATGTGTTTAGAATTGCAATTCAAGGCTGCAGACCACATACAAGGATCTTTTTAGCAATTAAGGTGTTTAACTTCAGGTGTGTGTTCTTGCTGAAGTATTTAGGGAGTACTTTCTTAGCACTTTTTATAAGCTTTTATATTATAATCCACCAAATCTAGTCCATCCTTCCTCTGGAAAAATCCTAGAGCTAGGCAAAGTGATAACCAACTGCCTGTAAACCAATGGTAGGCACACCCAAGGGAAACAGCACCTATTCAGACAGACAGGACATAGTCACACAAACAGAGAGGCAGGTATGTACGCAAGTATTCACACATAGAAAGACCTTCTGCCTTTGGCAAAGAAGAAGGCAATAGCAGGAGGGAACCTGAGCCTCACTTGAAGCAGCGTCTCATTTGCCCTGGTGGGCGAGACCTCAGTTATCGGGAGCAACATGAAGGGACTTCGATGTGCCTTTTCTACTCTCCCCTGTGTTTAAGTGTAATCTCTTTCAGGACCAGATAATCTGTTGGTCTTGACAATAGAATTTGATGGTACAGTACTTCTATGGCCAGGCATAGCACCATTGCGGATAACATAGATAAATAGCTCAACCATCCTCGTTACGTGATAAATCCCAGTGGTGTCTGTGTGACTTTTTCAGTTAATGTTTCACCAGAAAATCACTTTAAATGCACTCTCTAACATGATCAAACTAGAGCTGTAGTACATGTATGGCTACAGCGTAACATGTAGAACTGAGGATGGTTAGGAAAGCCCTCCTGATTGTGCCACATACTCCCAGAACTTGCAACAATTTTTCAAATGTAATTTGTTGCTTATTGCTCAGAGAGCAAATATCATCACTTTAGTATCTTTTTAGATTTTGAAAAAAGTGTCTTTAAAATGAAGAAATAAACATCCTTCTGTATCTCTCTGAAGCAACATTTTAGTGGCTCGTATTTGCTACACATTATTTGTTACACTGGAAAAGTAACAATGTTACTGGGCATTGTGTTTGTTTTCTCTCTCTCTCTCTCTCTCTCTCTCACACACACACACACACACACACACACACACACACAGACAGAGACAGAGACAGAGACAGAGACAGAGACAGAGACAGAGACAGAGACAGAGACAGAGAGAAAGAGAAAGAGAAAGAGAGTAATTCAGTGATAATCAGCTTCCGCTACATTGATTTAATGTAGACACTTAAAAATAAATACGATAGTCAATAAATTATGCTGGTATGAATTCCACTAAATAGAAAGTAGCTTCATCAATCTTATGACTGTCTTGCTTTTCTTGTTTTTCATACATAAACACATCTTATAGGGCATTCAGTTCTATTTAAAGTGATGGAACCCTTCCCAGTTAGTGGCTAAGACTGAATTATATATTTTGGTATTAACCACCAGTAAACTTAGAGCTTTCCTCTGCTCCCCTGCCCCCCTCCCCTGCTGCAGCTCTCTATGGTGCCAACAGAGGATTTTCTACTTTCCAAAGCAGGTTTTTAGAGCATACCAAAGGCTGCTTAAAGAGGGGAGGGTTTGGAAAGTTGATTTTAACAGAAATTGTGAGATCCAGTGGAAGTTATGCCCTTGGATCCTAGCCAATATGCTGGATTGATGGAAGTACTGTTGCTGTTGTTTTTCAAGTTCCCTCAAGTAGCCTTCCTAAGATGACAATGGTTGCTAGTTCTAGCTGAAGTTTTTGATGTTGTGTGCTGTCAAGTCAGAATCAACTCATAGTGACCTTAAAAGGGCTTTCAAAATAAGTGAGGTATTTAAGGAGTGCTTTTAGTGGTACCAGTAAAACTTAGCCCCAGTGAGTTTCCATGGCCAAGTGGGGATTCAAACAGTTCTCTTGAGTCCTAGTCTGTTATATATTATCCACTACGCCATACTGGATACCAGCTGAAGTAGATAAATCTGTTGAATCAGTTGTTGAGTGACAGATCCACATTTAGGTACATCTCACTGATTCGTTAGGTCTACTCCAGTTAGGATTATCAATTAGATTCAAACTAGTGACTCTATTTCCAATTTGTAAAATGGGTGAATTTTCAAAGGGGCAGAGGAACTAGAGACCAAATTGCTAACATTTGCTGGATTATGGAGAAAGCCAGAGAGTTCCAGAAAAACGTCTACTTCTGCTTCATTGACTACAGAAAAGCCGTTGACTATGTGGACCACAATAAACTATGGCAAGTTCTTAAAGAAATGGGAGTGCCTGACCACCTTATCTACATCACCTATGGTTTTTTGACAAAGGTCTGTGTAGTCAAAGCTATGGGTTTATCAGTAGTGCTGTATGGAAGTGAGAGCTGGACCATAAAGAAGGCTGACCGCCAAAGAATTGATGCTTTTGAACTGTGGTGCTGAAGGAGACTCTTGAGAGTCCCCTGGACTACAAGGAGAACAAGGAAATCAGCTTGGAGTGCTCACTGGAAGGATAGATCCTGAAGCTGAGTCTTCAATACTTTGGCTATCTCATGAGAAGAGAAGACTCCCTGGAAAAGACCTTGATGTTGGGAAAGTGTGAAGGCAGGAGGAGAAGGGGACAACAGAGGATGAGATGGTTGAACAGTGTCATCGAAGCAACCAACATGAATTTGACCCAACTCCAGGAGGCAGTGGAAGACAGGAGGACCTGGCGTGCTCTGGTCCATGGGGTCACAGAAAGTTGGACATGACTTAACGATTAAACAACCACAATAAAATGATACCAAAGGCAGTAGAGAGCCTGTCCTTTTAGTAGCTTTAAAGATTATGGTTCTTCTAAATTTCTCATGGCTCTATGAAAGAATCAGAAGCAGGTAGAATAATGCAGGAATGACGAGAAGGCATGTAGATTTACTGAAAATCTCTGTGTGAATAGGAAATGAAATAGGGTTTGTGGCCTCCTAGTTTTCAAACACCACAAGTAACAAAACAATTTTTCCTGGCCGCCCCCCATGCACCCAGCCAGGGGAGTACAAGAAACTTTGGATTTGTTTAAATCTGTGATTTCCAGTGCAGGTCTGGTTTACACTGGCATAACTATGCCAGATTTTGCCACTGAGTATGAAAATGACTTGTTTAAAAAAGCTTCTCAGTTGTATATCAAGAGTGGGCAAGCTCATGAAAATACCTAGTTTTTGGCTAAATGATCTCTCTCTGCAATAGCATCAGACCTTGGAAATCTTACTTTTGTAGGCTACAGTTCCAGTGGCTATACTGACTGGGAGTTATAGTGCGACAAGGTAATTTTCCCAGGCTCTGAACATAATTAAAGTACATGCGGAAGTCAGACTTCATGCTGTTTTCTCTTAGCTCTCCTTTCACCGGAGAATCTGGAATGAAAAGTAGGTCACAGGTCCTTAAAGTAGGATTCACTTTTCATGGAGAATTGATGTACAAAAGATCCACTTTCATTTTCACTCCACTTTGATCACTTGCAGTGCAGTCAGTGGAGAGGTTTTGCTGTTTGCTGCATTTCTTCCTAGCCTGTCTTTTAAGAAAGGGATCAAGCTGCAGAGGTGTGTGTGGAATAACCTTTTCCTCTTGTGTTGCAAGGTGGCCTTAGTTATTTGGGAGCAATTAAAATGGATGATAATATCAGGAGTTAGAACTCCTGTCCTCTGAAGATGCCAGCCACAAAGAATGGTGAAACATTAGGAACAAAAACCTCCAGAACATGGCCAAACAGCCCGAAAAACCTACAACAACCATTGGATCCCAGCTGTAAGAATACATTGTTTGGTTTCTCTGGGTTTTTCGGGCTCTTTGGCCATGTTCTGAAGGTTGTTCTTCCTGACGTTTCGCCAGTCTCTGTGGCCGGCATCTTCAGAGGACAGCAACCTGTACTCTGGTCTGTCCTCTGAAGATGCTGGCCACAGAGACTGGCGAAACATCATGAAGAACAACCTTCAGAAGACAGCCAAAGAGCCCCAAAAACCCAGAAAAATCATTAGATCCCAGCCGTGAAAGCCTTCACGAATATATTGAATACATTGTTTTGATTTTAGATGAATCAGAGGATGCCCATATCATCTAGAACTGGAACTGCTGTTAATCTTAATTTTGGCATTTTAAGGGCTTTTAATCATTTTAATCTTGACTTTTGTTAGTTTTAAATAACAAAGCTTTAGAAATCATGGCTTCAGATTGGCTTTGTGAAGGGCAGCACAGCTAATGTTAGCCACAGTTTGTTAGTCTGGATAATGTAAGAATTTGTGGTCAATTAAAAAATGGAAGTGAATGCTTCTCAACTCCTTCTTCTGGCTGTATGGGAGGTGAGGAGAGGGCAAGAGGCCTGGTGGGCAGAGTAAGTCACGTCTTCACTAAACCAGAGCAGTGCAGTCCTCCAAATGTTGTTGGACTATGACTCTCATTAGCCCTAGCCAATAATGAGGAATGCTGGGAGTTGCAATCCTCCAACTACTGAGGATTACTGTATTTACACCATTATTTAGCATGACATCTGTCCATCCATCATCTTATTACAGCAACTGTAAGTGCTGGGAGTTGCAATCCTCCAACTACTGAAAGGCTGCACTTTGCCCACCCCTGTATTTACACCATTATTTAGCATGGCATCTGTCCATCCATCATCTTATTGTTACAGCAACTGTAAAACAGCCGAGTATTAGCCTCATATTGCACATGGAGAACAAATGTTGATGGAGCAGCTTGTCTAAGGCTACTTGGTTTAGGGCAGTGGTGGTGAACCTTTTTGGGTTCGTGTGCACAAACTGGGGAAAAAACAACAACAGTGGGCAGTATGCCGCCCAGAAGTGGCAGTGAAAGGGGGAATCCTGGCATGGAGGTGCCTTGAGACCCCACTCCGGATCCACTGCCAGCACCAGCTGCTCCGGATCTGCCTGCTGAAGCGCCAGTGCCACGACTGCAGCCGCCTTTTCGGGTTTGGCTGCATGGGGGGGGGAACTTATGGCTCGTGTGCCGGCAGAAAGAGCTCCACGTGCCATCTCTGGCACGCGTGCCATAGGTTCGCCATCGCAGGTTTAGGGCGTGCATGGGGGGGGGAACTTATGGCTCGTGTGCCGGCAGAAAGAGCTCCACGTGCCATCTCTGGCACCCGTGCCATAGGTTCGCCATTGCTGGTTTAGGGCAAAGGCAAGATTTCCTGATCTAAATCTTTTCATCATTATAATTACTTTATTATTACCTATATACGCCTTCTGTAAGAGCAAAAAAAACAGTGTACAATAATCATAAATTATTAATGCAAGTAGAAATCATTAAAACAGCAAACAGTGGTTAAAAGCCTTCAAAGGACCAGATGTAAACCATACATTTTAATGCATTTTTCAGAGCAGCAAGAGTAGGGACATCCTTTATTTTTGGAAGAGGTTTATTCTGCAGTTTGGGAATAATACTGGAGAAAGGCCTTTCTTGTAGTCATATCAGGTTGCTCCCTGCAGATAATGGTAGTGAATGCTTCCAAATTCCTCCTCCTGGCTGTATGGAAAAAGCCACAGAACTTGCCCACCCTAGTATAAACACTGAATGAAACAGAACCTTGTGGCACATTGTAAGCCAGAGGTGGTGGTCTCCCAGTACCACCTTGTGAACATAATTTCACCTTACAAAGAAAACCAGAACTGTTACAATGTAATGCTTCTCAAGGGCAACGCAGCAAGGCCCTCTAGAATGTTAAAACTTCTACCTAGGTTTCCCTGATAAAGTTCAGCACTAATAGTGGAAAAAAGAAATGTACATATACTCAGCTCCTGCTAGAGGCCATTGCCCTTGTCTTAAAAGCAAATGAGACTGTGTTGTAGATAAACATCATAGCAAAGTAAGAACTACGCAGTGCCATGTTCTTGAGGAATACATGAGACCTGTGTAGTGCTAGCAGTTGTCTGTTTCCATGGTTACTCAGTGTGGTTTACTAAAGGATAAATATAAGGTAATCTATGAGGTAAGCAAGACTAAAGTAACATTGTGGTTTATGTATAGTGTCTCTCACAAGTAGAAAGACTGTGGAGACGTGGAAGCAGTAGCATATCAAACTGAAGCATATCTTCTGGGCATCCTATTGTCGTTTATGAATCTTGAAGCAGAATTGTTCAGGGGTGGAGGGACAGTTCCTGCATAATAGTTTTGCTCAGACTCTGACTGGCTTTTGCTTCTTTCTTTATCTTACTTCCCATGCCTGTTCAGTGGATTTTGCTCTGAAGGTGGTGCAGTGGTCAGAATCTGAAACAGTGAGACTGCAGTTGTGGGACATCGCAGGTGAGCAATTTGGGAAGCCTCTTGGTATATGTGCAGATGGATTTTCAAAATTATTTCAGATCAAGTTTTTCTGTTTATTGCTTTCCACCTACTGTATCTGTCTTCTGTCTCCCAAAGATTATCTTTAAAACCCATACCAATGAGATAAAAAATTCCCACTCCCTCCATTATCAGGAAAATATTTCCAATGTGCCACTTCTTCTTGGAATGCAATTTGTACAAAATTCTCTGTTAGTCTGGAAGAGGCCATTTCAGGGAACACTTTTAAAAGGCTTGTGACTGGTGCATATTGAAATTAACATCTAATAGTGAGTGTGCATTGGTGAAAGAGAGAGAGTGTGTGAGTAGATGTTACAGAACCCTTTGGAAATGCAGAGCTTTGTTTGCCATCTGCACAGCCAAAAACACAATCTGGTGTTCAGCTGAAATAGTGGCTTCGGTTGCCAACAGTGGAATCTCTTGCAGTAAAACCAGGAAGCCAAATGTGTCGCCTGCTCTTCTTTGGATGCCAGAGGGATATGGTTTTTCCACATATAACCAGAGCCTTATTAGAGAGGATCAGGCAGTGGCTGAGCAGCACTTTTAAGGCTGAATACTTATGTTGCCACCTTCTTCCTGTAGATATAGTAAATATAACAAGGTAGGCAGGAAGTAGATTGAAATTTCTGGGTGATTAGCAGTAGATTGGCAAAAAATGTCTTCTTTCTCATCTGCTTTAAATCACATTGCTGAAATGACGAAGAAATGGGTTTTTGTATGGAGGAACAGTGACCTCCATTTAGTACTGGTACTTAGCACAATTTCCTGAACTCATAATTCTTCAATTTTAATTTCTGTTTCTCATCCTGCCCCCCCAGACAAACTCCGTAGTTCTCACCCTGGTCAATAGTCCTGCGGGACTCAGACCTTGATGTATTTTACCCATCAATGTTTTGAGATTTTAATTCAAAATGTATGTTCAGTTAGTGGATATCTCAGTTCTAGTGAAACAGGTAGATTCTTCCAACCCCCTCCCATATCCTGTAAAGTGTGGCCCAATGTGTAGGTTAACTTTAAGGTGGAGCAGAAGTGGGCAAAATGCAACCCGTGGGCTGAATGTGATCCCCAGGAGGATTTTTGTAACCTCTATGGTTCTTGCAAACTAGTTGTGTCTGTCTTCCTCTTTTCTTACATCCACATCTGGTTTAAACTATGGATGGATAACTTAAAATATTTTGTGGACGACTCTGTTTCCTCCTTTTACCCACTATTTTTGCCAGCAGGCAAGAAATAGGAGTCAGCAGAGCTTGGGAAAGTTATCCATTCTTGATAACTCATTTGAAGTGCTTGGAAACCTCCAGGTCATTACTTGTTGCTATGTTGAAAAAGTAACTTGTTACATTGCCTGTTACATCGTGTGTTGCTTTTTCTATTATTTTTTTAAAGCTTATGATAGAGTTGAAAAGAGTGACATAAAACTTGGGAGGAAATCCCTCTAGATCCTTTAAAATGCCCTCAAAAGGTAACTTGATAAGGTGTAACATGTATAATTACATTGCAAACTGCCTAGAGAGTGCTTTAAGTACTATAGGGCGCTATATAAGCAGCACACATTTTGATAATAAATAAAAAGGTTGCTTATTGCATGAAAAGTAACTATGTCCCTGCTTCTTCTTCTGCTTTTGAAATGTAAATGTTCTGTAATACCCCAAAAGGAACTGGTTACAGGTAACTAAATTACTTTATACTTGGTATTTCCAAATTCTAGGACTGAGTCTGCTGATGTGACAGGGCTGTTTTGTACCATCTTGTTTTGTTTGAGATGAAGTGGGGGAAGCTTATTGTGGCAGAATTTGAGTCTTTGCTTTAACCTAATGACTAAACTCAGTTTCTCACTCCAACCTCCAGGTCAAGAACGCTTCACATCTATGACACGGCTATATTATAAGGAAGCATCTGCTTGTGTGATCATGTTTGATGTCACTAGCATGAGCACATTCACCAGCTGCCAGAAGTGGAAACAGGATTTAGACAGCAAGCTGAGGTTGCCAGATGGGAGCCCTGTCCCTTGTCTGCTGCTGGCTAATAAAGTAAGTGGATGGCAGCCATATGATGGATCCAACTTTTGTACCAGGCAGCTCTAAGTGACCAGTAACACTCTCTAAGAGCTCCATATCCAAGCCTTCTAAAATTCTTTTTTGCAGTGTGACCTTTATCCCTGGTCTGTGACCAGAGAAGAAATCGATCGGTTCAGCAAAGAGAATGGCTTTACTGGCTGGACTGAAACATCTGTCAAGGAGAACAAGAATGTAAATGAGGCGATGAGGTAAGTCAGCATGGAAGTTGTTGAACATTTCTCAATGACATTATAGTTTCTAGGAGTTCTGTTATTGTTAACATGTGACTAAGTGATAATAATATTCATGTATTGAAATAGAATTGTAGCTTTTTATTACCATATTTCCCAGAAATTAAGACAGGGTCTTATATTAATTTTTGCTCCAAAAAACGCAGTAGGGCTTATTTTCAGGTGATGTTTTATTTTACAGTCATGTCATCTTCTGGTTGCTGCACAATGGTGGAGAGTTGGGTTTCACTTAACTAGGGCTTTTTTTTTTTGGTAGGGCTTTTATTACGAGCATCCTGAAAAACCATACTACAGCTTATTTTCAGGTTAGGTCTTATTTTGGGGGAAACAGGATATAATGTGGCTTTGGGGCTAAGTGAGGGTGTGACTACACTGCAAGGGAAGTGAAAATTCACTCTCATTCATTTACTGTAAAGTTTCACATAAGTCTATTATCCTTGGGTCTGCAGGAAGCGGACACAAGAAGATGGAGGAGAAAAGCCTTGTTTGCAGCTCTGTTCAGGCCTTGTTAGAGGTTCAGTTAAAAGAAAATGGATTAATAAGCTGTAAATAAGGGCTTCCTCCTCTTATTAGCTTTGTTGTAAGTTTTTTTTTAAAAGAGAGAGGCTTTGTTTGTCATTAGCTGATTTTTAAGAAGAAAAAAAAAGAAAATCTTGCCATTGGGCTTTGCTTGCTGTTCCCTGGGTGTGTGCTTGTGTGCTGGCTTTTCTACATTGGTCCAAGTGGTCACATATTTGAACCAATGCAAATGGATCTTTTTTTTTCCAAAGAGTAGAAGCCCCAGCAGTGTGAGGGGGACTAAAGTTTTGGCAGGAAAAACTTCAGGTTGATTCGCATTTCCTTTTGCATCATGTGGTCAATGTAAAACAAAATGCAAATCAGCCTACTCCAAACCTGTAGTATTTCCTGCAATTTTACAGTGTACTTGTACCCTGAAAACTGGCAACTATTATCAAGATCTTGGCATTTGTTGTATTTTATTAGTTTTTAATAGAGGTTGGAACAGTTTGTTGTTGTTTTTATTTTTTTTATAATTTTTTTGGAGTACAACTTACAGAATTGCCTGACTAGCAGTGCTTTGGAGTGTATGGGTATGGATAAGTAAGAAACTTTTTAAATTTTTGTATTTTTAAGAAGATGACCACCATCTTGTTTGATTTCAGGGGACTGGATTGAAACAATTCTGCCTCATAGAGGCTTTATGTATGGTGAGGGAGCATTAGATGGAAGAAAACTGTATGTCAAGAACAACAATGTATGCATCACTTTGCTGATTTGAACATATGGAACACATTCTGGGTGCCCTTTGGCAGTGTAGTGAGGGTTATTATCCTCCAGTGTACTCACGTTAGTGTACCTGGAACTCCTCCCTGCCTTGTCCTCATAACAACACTGTGAGGTGGGTCATTGAGAGAGAGAGAGAGATAATGGCCCAAGGTAATGTAAGTTAGTGAATTTTATGGTTCAGTGAGAACAAAACTAATTTAATCACTCAGTTTCCAGTACAGCACTTTAACCACTATACCACATAGACAGTCAAAGGGGTGTTTTTCTTCAACTAGCCATACCTTTAACAGAAAATGGCAAATATTTTAAGAAACCTCATATGTTATCAAAATATTCCTTCCTTTGACATCTGCACGTAAAGGATTCAGTGTAATCAGAATCCTGTAACCACGCTGTTCTCTACTCTTGAATTGAAGAACTATTAAGAAGGGAGAGGCTTGAGCTGTAGTTTGGTTTTTAGTCTTTCGGATTAGGGTCAGGATTAGGATGCTGCAAAAAGATGCTATAAGTTCTTTTCTATCTGACTTAATTCTGCTTTCTCTTAGAGTCCTTATAGAGAAGATGATGTCAATGATATCCTTGGATGAGAAAGATATCTCTCTTTCAGGCCGTGGAGATTACATCAACCTAAAAGATGCCTCCACATCCAACTGGGGCTGCTGCTGACTGTTTGTTGTTCTTCATCAGATGAGAAGTCAAGAGTGCTTTTCACTTATTTGTAATTTTAATGCAATAGGAAATGTTTGAATTTCTGTGAACAGCAGTGGAAGAGAGAATCTCTCAGCCTAGCAGATATGACTCAAACTACTGTTTTTGCTGCTGGTGTTGACTGTTGTTGTTCCGTTCTGCATCACCACTTGGATTAGCTCAGAAAGCAAGAATATTTTACACATTCTAGCCCTGGACCAATTGAAGAAAAGTTACCTCTTCAGTTTATCAAAGATTCCACGTCAGGAAAAAAGATTGCTGGGACCTTGTTTTGTCAAAACAAAACAACAACAAAAGTAACATTATCAAGCTGTGTTTGACTAGTATGCTTGCAAATTGTTCCTTCAGTTGCACTTTGAAACCAGCTGCCTTTAAGATACCGTTTGTGCTTTGGACTGTGACTATCCTTCTGTGTAATACAGGTGCACAATTGTCTTACAACAGCTCATGTGGAGGTGCCATTTCTTGCCATGAGAAGCCTACTGTATTTTGCACTCTGACCTTCCCACCCCCCTTGGTGTGATATGGAACATACAGTTGTCAGCTCTTCTCCTGATGCCTTTGTACAAGAGACCCCAGGAATAAATTGAGGCAAAAGCTGTAAAATGCTTTACACTGATGCACCTTATTAGAGGACCAGCAGTATTCTTTGCTTTTATAACCTTTCCCTCACATTGTCTGATTTTCCTCTTTCAGATTCTGATGAATTACTTCCCTTCAGCTGCCTACTGTGTGGCTATAGATAGCCATCATGCAATGCTATCTGATAGCCCACCTATGGGTTTTAGTGATCTTAGGGGGAAAACAGAATTGGAGGCCCAGCAGGACAAAAATTGAGAGTTAAGTCTTCTCTGTGCCTTTTTAATCTCAGGTGCTTCCTCCCCTCTTCCTTTTTTGTTTTTTTAGTGTGTGTGATCATGGCTGTTGGACTTCTTGTGTTTGTGGAACATACAATATTATACATTTTAAAGTTTTTAAAGATGGACCACTTTGAAACAGATGGTTACAACTACAGAATGGTAACATAGACTAGCAAGTTTGTATTTTTAATCTTTTCTTTTTAAAATAAAATGTCAGGAAGGCTGTGGTATTGTATTGTTTATTGTTTTGACCACTTTGGTCATCCAGCATCCACAGATTTAAAACATCAGTATAAATCTAAAAATATACACTTGCTTGGAGCCAGCTGATCATCCACAGAACTAGCAAGTTTAAAAAGTATAGGTACAAATACATACTTTCTACAAAGTGCTGAATTAAAAACATAATAGAAGAGGATTAAAATGTACACATATTTCAATTCTAAAAACCAAGTCACTTCAGGTGGATCCTCAAATGGGGTATGAGGTATTCCCACAGCATAAAAAATGAGTATATCCGCTGACCGTTAAAAAAGGCTGTGTTTTACAGATGAAAGATTCCACATATGAATTAAATGCTCACAGTTTGGATAGCCTTGAAATTATTGAGGAGATTAAAAGAAAGTGACTTGTTAAGGTCTTAACTGAAAAGTCTGCTAAAACCTGGCACTATTTTCAGCTTGATAATTTGAAACAGTTGGGTAATGCACATATTTTCCCATTATAAATTCTGACTGTTTTCTGAACTACTAGAAAATTTACCTATTATTCCCCAATTAGCCTTTCCTTGCAATATAGGCATTGCTGAGTGATAATCTTTTGAATAAAGGATATGAATCAGCTGCTGCTTTGTAACAATGTGAGAACTGGTTAGGGAGTAGGATCTATTTAGATGTAGCCATTGTTCTGGATGACTCCTTTTATTGTGAATATTTTTAAAAGATTATGAAGTCTCTGTTGATTTCTGAAAAATGTTGCAAAAGTGCAAAGCACTGAGAAATTAAGGCTAAATACTTTTTAAAGGAGCAACTCTACAGAATCTATGGAAATATATATCAGCAGTTTCCAGAAGTAGTTTGGTGCATTTAAATATTTCCTGCTACTTTGGAAGTGGGAAATGGCAAAACAAGCCTCAAGTTGTCACTGTATGAGTAAAGTGCAAATTTTCTGCCTGAATCAATTACAAAAATGATCAGAAAAAAGAAGTCATAAGACATAAGTACTGTCTGGAAAACCTTACCTCTCTACCTGATACTGTCATACTTTCTGAGATACAGTTATACACTTTTCAGCTGATTACAAAGAAATGTTCCTTGTCCTTCATACCGTTTTTTGAAAAGCAATATCTAATGTAGAATTGAATGTCTGTCTGGCCAAAAAAATATTATATTAGTAATTTGAATGGAGATGACTTGGACATGTTTTCCAAATTGTTTCAAACAGAATATCTGACATAGCCCTATTGGTGATTTCAGAACATGAATACTTAGCATACTGCCTTTCATTTATAAGCTTGTATAGAGACTCAGAGTTGCTGCCTTGATTGTCTGTAGTAAGAGCATTTGGAAAGACCTCTATAAGAATGCCTGACTTACCATATCTGCCTCTGTGAACGTTCTCAAGCATCTAGAATTTGGCACTTGAGAATCAGTGCATATTTTTAGAGCAAAATCTTGTTGGTGTAACTTTGTGGTGTATCCCCCTCCTTTTAGGTTCAGAGGCTCCTTAGCACCTCCATTTTACCCTGAGGAAGTATTTGGGAGGTTTGAGACAGAGTAGTAGCCTTTTAATAATAAAATGGCTGTTTAAAAAAATCACTGCCAGATTGTTGCCAGTAGCTCCAACCCAGCAGCATTTATTATTTTTATTACTACTACTACTATTATTATTTTGCTGCTAAAGGCTTCCACCCTTCTTGTCCCAAGGCTGCCCCAAGGCAAAAGGGATCGCTAGGGAGCCTCTGAACCTAAAAGGAAAGGGGTAGGAAGTTTTTCTTTTAAATCAAATGCTTCTTGTGCCCAACCTGGGTTACACCTGTACAAAGTTGTTCAACATGATTTTACCCTTGTTAGTAATATTAGTTTGGTCCCCATTTGTGCCTTTTGGCTAATTCGCAAGTAATCTTTAAAAAAAAAACACCGTTAAGCAGACTTGGGAGTTTGTGAACATTTGAAAATCCTGGGCAGCTGACTTCCCAGAGGACTGACTTGATTGGACCAACCGGAATATGAAGTGTATAATTAAAACACAAACACAAAACCACAATACTTCTAAAATTAAGGCAGTGCTCTGCAAAACAAGTGATGGCTCCATTTTAAAATCCTATCTGACCTGGACCCAAGTGCTCTCAAAGTAATTTTTGCCAACATGGATTTTCTAATAATGGGCTTGTTTCTTGGCTTAGATTTTTTAAATATACATAATTCTTCAGATAGTATACAATATTGTCACAGGGCATGTTGCTCACATTGCTTCATGTGTAAACTCATACCATTTTCCTAAGATAGTTGCAGATAGACTTAAAGCTACTTAATAGAAATGAATTCAAATGGCAGCTGTTTTCTTTTTAGAGGAAGAAGGAAGGAAACTATGCATTTTTTCTGGGAAATTGTTTGAACTTCCCATTAGTATGCAACCAAGCCCCTTTAATTAGAGTGATGAGGAAATGGGTTTACACATATACATCCACTGTGCCTTATTTACTCAGATTGCTGTATCAGATTGCTGTTTGTTGGCTTGTAAGCCACCAGAGATTTGTAAATGGTTATGTTTCTGTGTTGCTGTCTCTCTGTATTAGTTGGTATTCTAAGGCTCAAAGAAGAAGCAGAAATCTTGCTCCCTTCCAGTGAAATATGACATGGTATAGTATATTGTGCAATGATAACCACATTTCCTCATGTAGACTCTGTTGCCCATGGGTAGAATATTTCTTCTTCTCATGTGTTGTGCATGTGATTGGGCATCACATGGGCACTAGGTAGCTTATGGAGACTGGATTGCTGAATTAAGATACAGTATTTGATTCTTTCCCCTACTCCAGTTGCCTTGAATGGGGCAGCTCTTCAGTCACATAGAAAAAGAGAGATTCTAGATATGTTTACTCTGAAATCTTCACATTTTGCTCAGTCACATTTCCCAAGATATCTACATGTACTTCTCATCAAATCAGTATTTTCCCTATAGTTCTCCTGTTTCTTTCGAGCTTGCAAAAAAAAAATACAATGTTTTATTTTTTGGGAATAGCATAATGTCTGACTATGAATAAAGGTAGGGCTTTTCTGTGACATAACTAATGATGTATTTTATTGGTTAAGCTATCCTCAGGTATTTAAGCATCTGTGCATCCTCAGTACAGTATTTACCTATCCAGTTGGTTCCATGTTATCCATGCATCATTGTTTAGCCAGTCATCTAATCTGTACCAAAATGCCCTTTGTCTTTTTAAAATCACTGTGTACTGTTTAGAAGGCATTTGAACACAAATTAAAATACTATGTAAATAAAACGGTGTCTGGTTTGGTAGCACCATGTTAGTGTTTCATTGCTTGCCTTCTCAATTTTTTGCCTGTTAAAATACTTTTAAAACTCTTTTTTAAAATGTTATTAAAATGTGTGATAAAGTGTCCGTATAATACTGCATAATCATGCTACAGTGCCTTCATATAGAGCATGTTAGTATGAATTTCAGCATAATTTTATAAAGTATTAATAAAGTGTGCAAATAAAAAACAATTAGAAATTGTATACTCAGAAATGTGCCTTCGTCATGCATATAGCTGTGTCATGCCATCCAATTAATAGTATTGTTTCCCCCTCCCAAGTGTTACATATTCTCCTCATGGATAATCAATTGCAATTCTGCATCTAACTTTCATAAAAAGGTCAATGACTGGGTGGCACTCACTAATAATGACCCTTAGTGTCCTCCATCTTGTAGTGAGAGTTCATGGTCATATTCCACCGATCTGGCCTGTATTAACTGGAAGCTCATCCAAAACCATTGTTGGCTAAGAATCTCACTTATTTTTCCTACACACATAGATTCTTATATGAATAAGCTTTAATAGCAATATTTGATACCTTAATTGTATTTCCATATCAAATGAAATGTTCAATACATTTTGATGACTGTGGAAACATTCAATCAATGCAGCACTCATATGCATGCAGTTTATGGCCTACCATGTGTACTTGTATTCTCTAGCAAATATTGAAATAATGCTATTGAGGTAACATGCGTCTGGTCAAAAATAGTCTATCTCAAAAATTTTAATATGTTTTTAACCCATAATTTTAAATTGTGCAAAGCTCAGATAGATAGATAGATAGATAGATAGATAGATAGATAGATAGATAGATAGATAGATAGATAGATAGATAGATAGATAGATAGGCAAGCAAGCAAGCAAGCAAGCAAGCAAGCAAGCAAGCAAGCAAGCAAGCAAGCAAGCAAGCAAGCAAGCAAGCAAGCAAGCAAGCAAGCAAGCAAGCAAGCAAGCAAGCAAGCAAGCAAGCAAGCAAGCACTCAGTGGTGCTTGCAAACCAGTTCCCCTTTAAGGTCACAGCCCAGCTGAGCAGCTTTCTGGAGTCCATTGAGTGGGGCACTGTAGACTGTCAGAACAGAGGCAATCCTCTGAGCAGATGCTAGATCCTGTCCAAAGTAAGGTTTTTCTATAATCTTGGTTAAAATAGCAGGTAGATTGCTGCTTTTTGTTTTCCTCAGATCTGATCAAGAGCTTAGAACAGAGGCACTTTTATCATGGACAGCTCATGCGCACTATGCCGTGTTTCACTGAAACACAGTGACAGTTCATCAAAAGGCCTCTTTGGGCACATGGTTGCGCAGTGATTGCTACATCATTTTTGATGCGAAACTTATATGTTCAACAGGAATTATTTACTATAAGTTGAACACATAAAAAAATTGGGCTTTACTGCTTAGCTCTGGTTTGCAAACTTTGGTCTTTCATTATTTGTAGGACATCAGCTTTCAGAAGAGAAACACTAGAATTACAAGAGCAGATACTGATAGTGGAATTATTTTTGTAACGTATTAGTAGGATGTGAAGTCTGAAGTTGCAAGGTTTTGCAGCTGATACCTAACATTTAAGCAGACCTTTGAAAAGTTACTTTTAAAACTATAACTCTCAGAATCCCCCAGTCATAGATATACTGGTTGGGAGCATCTGGAAGTTTTAGCTTTCCAAGCTCTGACTTTAAAGTAATTTCTAAGTCAATAAACATTTAGAAAGAAGATAACCATAGATACACGGATGTGTGGTTTATCTTGGAGAAAATCAAAAACAGGGTTAAGATGGAAACATTTTGCATACAATTTATTTATATAGTGCTTTATTTACTAAGTATAAATATTTGATTGACTCCATAAAGGAGCCATGGTCTTTATTTTGGGAGATTTGAGCAGGGCTGTTAATCAAGGGAGTTTTTTAAGGTCATTAATTCATAGTAAGGCACATTTAAAAAAACATAAAATACTTGTATGTTAAAAGAAAGGCGTTTTGACTTCAGTTGATCTTGATAAATAGGCTTATCTGGGAGTAATCCCTCTTTAGATCAATCATGTTTTCCTTTGAGTGAACATGCTTACAATTGCAATGTAAATCATCTTTCCAGAGTTGGTAAGGGTGAAAATCAGTGGAAGTTCTTCCACTGGCTGAACTGCTTCTGTTGATAGAATCAGGTGACTGGCAATTCCCTCTTTCTCCATATTCTCCTGCATATTAAGAGTACTGTTGGACTTTCCAGAGTAGATTTCTGAGGAACAGGAGGGGTACAAGTCTAGGGGAGAAAGGGAGAGTATTCAATTGCTGAAGCATATTTCTTCTTCTACAGCAGCACAAAGTTCTGAAGAGTTCTGCTCTCTCAGATGCAATTATCACCAACAATACACTTGGCCTCACTAAAGGATTAAATAGATTAATGGAAGATAAGAATAGTAAGAGCTGTTAGGTTCTCATTGTATCTAGTCTAGTTTGCAAAAAAGCAGGATATAAAGAGCACATCATGATATAGCAATACCTAATATAACCATTATTTTAAGATATTTGAGCCCCTTTTGGGTTTTGGATAACTTTTCCCACCATCCCTAAACCGCTGTTGTCCTGCTTTGTTCTATAACCATGTAAATAGACTTCACAGGAATGGGCAAGCAGCTTAGATGTCAGAAATTAAATTAGAATTTAGTTATCTTTGGCTCCTAGGCCTGTGGTGAGTGCTTTCCCTGTCTGGAGGTAATGATGCAGGAATGGCAGACCAAGGCTGTGCAAGGATGAGGACTTTGCCGGTGTATGTATTGTTGTCATTGGTATAAAACAGTGGTTCCTAACTTTGAGTAACCCAGGTATTCTTGGGCTGCAGTTCTTGGAAACCCTAGCCAGCATAGCTGGTGATTAAAGCTTCTGGGAACTGCAATTTAAACACCTTGGTTATCCAAGATTGGAAACCACCAGTATAAAAGTAATATTTCTAAGATTACTTTTTGTGAGTTTCCAAGATTGCTTCCCAACACCAAACCCAAGTTCATTTGATTTTGATTACTTCTGGCCTTTACCATATCCAGCAATCTAGTAATAAAGAACTTTGAGGTTGCATGTACTTCCTGTCCCATGCTCTAAGTTTGGCATTTCTGTGGCAAATCAGTGTCTATTCCATGAACTGTCTGAGGTTAAGAAAATATGCTGTAGGACTGGGCTTTCTTCTATTGTGGCACCTTGCCTTTGGAGTTCACTTGATGTTGTCTTATTTTCTATAGTGCAGAGTGGAAACTTTGTTTGTCCAGGCTTTTAAGTAATGCTTAGCATGACTGGTTGATTTGCCTGGCTGGTTAATTGCTTTTCTGTTATATTGTATTAATCTTAAGGGTCTTTTTTTAAAACTTTAATCACTTTTGAAACATTTTATACCTAAAAAGTGTAATTCTTTAGTAAATATGTAAATACATCACAACTTTGAGACATTAGTTAATTACATGTTATTCTATATGCCAAGTATTGAAGTGAGCTACCTTGAAAACAACTTATAGTGGATATAATGAATCCAACATAGAAATAATAAATCCTCACCTAAAACATGGACTTGATTTAAGGCTACAGTATTTCCATTCAATTAGGAAAATTATTTGTGAGCAAAGTAGCATTATCTGACCAAACGATTTTGTACAATCTCATTAATGGCAGTAATGTTTAATCTAGCTACATGATAAGTAACTTGAGAGGCCTCTAAGCATCTACACAAATTACAATGTGGGAGTGAAGTATCATTCTAAAGTCCTCCTTAAAGGTAGTATCAGAGAAGAGCTCAGATTTGTAGTTTAAATAATGGAGAGAAAATAAAGAAGATGGTAGAGAGTCAGATTAGCATACATTAGCATGTACATGATCAAATTATATTCTGCTAATGAAGCTGTACCGTATTTTTTGTTTTCTCTCCATTATTAAACCAGGTTCCGTCCTGTACATCCTTAACCAGAAGTACATCCCATTATTTAAACATAGTAGAATTTACCTCCAAGTAAGCAAATATTGTACGTTTTCTCAGGGAATAGGCTCTCTGTATCTTGCAAATGCTTTTGTAACCCCTTATGCTGAAATTGGAGAGTGTATATAGTGTCCCTAAGACCCCCAAAAAGTATTAATTTAAGATAGCTATTTAAAACAACAGGAATGCAAACACAGGAAAGAAACCTTTTAATCATAGAATAATGGACCTAACACATATTACTCACAATGTGAGGGTACCTTTCAGTTTCTTATCTTTCAATGTGATACTTCTGTCAGCAATGACCTTCTAAATTCTGCATAGGGCAAACAGGCTAGCCTTTGTTTAAAACAGTAAATAGACATAAATTTGACATGTCCCTATTCAATGATCAGTGAGACATCAACTTTCCAGGATGCTTCAGCATTAGCTGTAAAGTAACTTTCATGGACCGAAGAAACTTAAAAGGGGACTTGGCCAGAGCCCGTTGGGTTAGAATTCATTAAGAAGTGCCAAAAACAGGGAGTCATATACTGTACTGTATACAATTATCACTGTCTTGAGTAAAGGCTTAACTAGTGCCACAAGTTTATATTAACAACAGTTTTACAAATAACTCTTGCACCCTTAATTCATAGCCACTGTCAATACTTTGGTGACTGGTTTCTGACCTACCTGTCTCCTAGTCCGTCTTGTGTTGTATATGCACCTGGAATTATGGATATTTTATGCATGTGAATCGTGGGGCTATAGTTTGTGTTATATATGTGTGTTAGCCTTTAAGTTGCCAGAGGACTTGTTCTTTCCACGGAAACAACTACTCCAGCTCCCCACATGGGAGAAATTCTACAGTTAAAGATATTAGCAAGCATAACTATACAAGCATCACTAAAGGTGCCACATATGTGTGGGACAGGGCTTATTTTCCCTTTCAAAACCCTACTCCACTGTTCGCTATTAGATCTGCTATTTAGCTTATAGCTCATAGTTTTCGCGTATGGACAGAGCTCAGAAAATCTATGGCGCCTGCTCGACTATATTTGGGGAGCGGACTATTAGGCGACGTGTCCCGTCTCCTGTTGTTCCACATGCTTTCAGATCTGGCACATGCAGAGGTGACATTAAAACGAATGGCTTATAAGAAGCCACTGGGACATCCACAGTCGAGGGCACGGAAGGGAGATGTGGAGAAAAGAACTCAGAAGTGACAGTAAATAAAATAAAAAGGAAGGCATAAAGAGGCAGGCTTCTTTGGGGGTTGGAGAGAAAGAGAAGCCGCTGTCTCTGACCGAAGGTGGTGCTGATACCAGGGAACCCTTTTCATCACGTGTGCATGAGTGCGTGTAAATTCTCTGTCAACTTGCAACCGTCTCGCTCAAGCGAAAGGCGAGCGGGGGCGCCGACGGTGTTAGGTTGTAAGAAGGGTGGTGCGAGTCCCAGTTTCGGATTTGGTTCTTTCTAGATTTGTTTTTGTCTTCTGTGTATGAATATTCGTCCCTATGTGTTATGCCATGCTTCGTTTTAATTGCCTGACGGAGAAAGCAAAGGCGGAACAAGCGAGAGAGTCAGAAGCTTTACTTTTGGGGACTGTGTTCTCCCGCGTGAGACCACTGCCCTGACTTCTCTTCTCACGTGTAGATTTTTAAAATGTGGGATATTCGGCACAAAGGGACTTAAACCCTCCCCTTTCCAGTCTTCTCACTTTGCTAAGCAGTTACCCTGAGGAAAGGTATTCCCCGCCTTTCCATCCGTAACGCGCTGCTCTCAGTTCCTCCGAACCCCTCAAAGGGCATTTAACATGAAAGCACAGAATAGCGTTGTGGCAACACCGTACGTGCCTGGATATGTGCTTTGGGACGTGTATGGAAGGGGAAAGGAGAGACTCCGGCAAGGGTCCTGGCGAATCTGCCACCATTAAACCCTACCAGGTTCTTTTGACTTGTTGGCTTCAGCTCTCATATTAGCTTTAACGAGGGAGCTCGCCTTCACTCCTCCCGCTCGCAGGAGAGGAGGCGGGCCGTCGATTCCGTGATTGTTCGAACACACCAATGGGAATGAAGAGTGCTGCGCACCAGCCAATGAGAAAAACAGGGCGGAGATACCAGCCGACTAGGTTGCACCGCCCTCTCAGCTCGGCGCATCCCCTCTGCTGGACGAAGTGCGACCATTTTGCAGGGGGGAGCAGAGTGTGGTGGCGACTGACGGTGCGAAGAGAGCCAGGGCTGGGGCGCGGGGTGGCGGCCTGAGTCGCTGGACCCGGGGACTGTCTCCCCACCCCGGAGGGAAGACCGAGAACGGCGCTGACCCTGCTCTCTTATTTTGTCTCCCTAGGCGTTAGTGCCCGCCTTAGGGCCTCGATTTAACCAGCCAAGATGTCTAGGCCCGTCAGGTGAGTCCACTGCAAATGGAGAAAGGCCTTTGGGGAGGGCTGCTCCGGCGCTTCCTGTCGTGGGCCACCCGTGGCCGTTGAGCGCAGAGGCGAGCAGACCTGGCCTCGTACCACGCGGGGGTGGGGAGACGGCCAGGAGTTTTTTTTGGGGGGGGGAGGTTATGGCGGGAGAGGGGAGGGGCGTGTGCAGGCATGCAGCGTGCTCTTCCTCGGCAGTAGGGGCACTATCGCACGCCGTTGCCGCCGCCCTGCAGGTCCTTGCTTCCAGGATGCAATGCTGCCCCTTAAGGTTAGCGCAAGCAAACTCCGTGTCTTCGTAGCGGGAAGGTGGTTGTATCCGAAGCTCTTTTCTCTGTGTACATTGCCAGGGTAAAAGCGAGATCTGTGCCTCGCTTTTAGAAGCGCCGTTTGCGTTTTGCTGTGGAGAAATTGGGGCGGATGGGGGAATGAGTGAGGATGAGTCGGAGGCAAATACTGTAGTTACTCTGTCTGCCTGTTACATCCTTGAGGGGACGATGTGCATTTGCTTTGCCTTTTTTCTTATAGTCTTGCTAATACACCGGTGTGCAGAGGCTGACTGCTCGAGAATAGAAAGAGTCCATAGCCAAAGGGTCCATCCTAATGAGGAAACTATTTTTTTGTTTGCGGGGAGGGGGGAAATGATGCTGCCTGCAGCAGTGGACAGCTTAAGAACTGAGCAGGGACATACCGTACTTTGTTTCCACACATAATGGTTGGTTCTTATTGTTCCACTCATTTATTTATTATTATTATTTATTTATTTATTTATATATTTCTTCAAATGGTGTTGTACATGGCTCTTCCTTTATTCCATCAGCAACACTTAAAAGATAGGTTACCTCGACAGAGAGTGACTGTCCCAGAGTCACCCAGTGAATTTCATGGCACGGTTCGGATTAATTCCTGGATCCCCAATGTCCCAATCCATCATCACTCAAATAACAACACCACACTGTCTTGTGGATACTAAATGTTTGGCATTCAGCATACAGTACAGTATATCCCTATCCCACTCTTTTAGAAGATTATAAGGATCTCAGTATTATACTCACGATCCTAAGTGATGGTACACATCTTTCACATGCAGTAGACACATGTATATGTAGAGACCTGGCAAATGATGGTTCCAACTTCCCATTAAGTGATATAGTATTATATCAAGAGCTGGTAGGTACAGAGTTTATCATTTTTCTTTAATCCTACTAGATGACCAAAAGTGGTTGTACAGCACTGGTAGTTTGGGTGTTGTACAGCTAAGATATTTGGGGCATCTTGGCCACACAGCAATCAAGGAAGCCTCTGTCTTCCTCCATAGGAAAGAGGCATATCACTTGAGTGTGTGAGCCTGGCCAGGCCATTCCAGGCTTTCAACTATATATCTAAACTGGAATGTTTCCCACCTCTGTTCCTGAGGCAAAGAAATTCTTAAACTGTTATTCCAACATACATTGGCCAAACCAGCATGTTCTCTCCCAGGGCTGCTGGGATTTTCTAGAAATCTGTATTCTCAGGCCTCTGGATGTGAAGACAATTCTCCAGATAATCAGTACTGGAAAAGTAAGTGTGGTGGTGGTCACAGCTTTATTGTGTTAAAAGGCAGTACCTGTACATCAAAGCAGCGACCATGAGTGGGTGCTTTGCGGCTTAGGTAGGTATAGGATGTGTGTCCTGATATTGAAGATTGGAGCATGCTGCATGTCTGGTCACCTGGAAAGATTTTTCAAGGGGAAGGGGTCTCCTAAATTTAATACTAAGCCAGAGGAGTGGTAGTAACCAGTGGCAATCTACTGTGCAACTAGGAAAATGTGAATTGCCTAGGGAGGTATGAATGTTTCAGACTTTGGATGTGGAGTAGGTGTCCTGCAAGTTCTCAGTGCCTGTGAAAGAGGTGTACCAGTCCAGAGGTTCTGGGCCTGAAACTGAGCTTTCGCTTGCTTGTCTTCAGCATTATTTAATTTTTATTTGTCTCCTTTATTCTGACTAAATTTTGAAAAATGTTGCCTCCAAATATCCTTGTAGAAATTATGACATTTTAGTGGTGTCTTACTAGATAGAATTTAAATCTACTATAAACTGCTGCTAAATGTCTGTTCATTTCCATAGAAACATAGAAGCTACTCTTGGAATGAATGAGCAGTATCAGTATCTGCTAGATTGAGTCTTTAATTATTAATGCTTGGCCCTAGAATATTTGCTTTATTTCTTTTCTATTTGGTGTGGTAGTAAGGTGGGTCATTGCTATACCTTTTCAGTCTGGGACACACTCAATTTCTCTCAGATTGAGAAAGTGAATAGTTTGTCCTTGTGTGGATTTCTCCGTTTAAGTTCTTATGAGAACTTTGAAGTCCAAGTAGAAATTTCCGATCTTATAAAATGCCATATGCTGAGTCAAACTGTTGTCATTACTATTATTTAGGGAAACCCTCAATCTTAAACTAATCTAAAATTTTCTTCTATTTTCACTTGTAGGGATGTTTGCCACTCTGTATTTCAAAACTACCTCTCTTGGACATTCATCCTAGCTGTGAGTTGTAGTGACAATTCTGTCATTACAAGTCACAGTTGTTCCTCTTTGTATCCTCATTTGTAAAACAAAATCTGTTGCTCTGCAGCTGCTAAACCACAATTCCACTGAATTCTTGTTCTGCCTGTTTCAGTGTAAGTGGCCCATCTTTTTTAGCTAATTGCATTTTATATTCCATCTTTTCTTTTTCTCCTTTCTTTCCAAGGAAGCCATTCAGGTCTAACTATTTAAGTATCAGAATTTCTATGCTTAGTGATGTTTATAAAGCTGGTTTACTAAAACAGGAAAATAGGAGACATTTTGTTGAGATATGGAAGTATTCAAAGTTTTGTTTCTTGCATCTCATAACAAAATGTTGAGTAGTTCCGGGAGTAGCTTCATCAAGTAAAAATTACTGTTTCTAATTACTGTTTTTTCATGCTTCATGTGATCTGATTTCTGCCTGTACCAAACGTGTTTGGCAATTATTTTATTTCCATGTCAGATATATTAAAATTAGGAGATGACCAAAAGTACCTGCAAGTGAGTTTTCCCTTTGGAAGGATCGTGTGATCAGGATATGATTTTTTAATGCATACAATGCCTATGATCTTGCACCTAGTCCAAGCCTGTGTACTGTATTTACTTTGAAGTAAGCCCCACAGATGGCAATGTGGTTTAGTCCCAAGTGACTGAATATGAGATTGGAGCCACCCACAGCCTTCAGAGCTATAACTGTAATTTTACATGCAACTATTTAGGGGGAAAAACATTTGTAGTCAGTGAAATGAGACTTGCATCCAAGTATTGCATAAGAGTTTTTCTGGATGTTTAAATGAGTGGAGAATTTTAGCACCTCACAACAGTACAAGGAGGTACTGTTTTAGTGGGAGAAATTTTCTGCCCCCAGGGTGCATGGGGGGTTGCTTTCAAACCACAGAAAATGACAAATTAAAAATAAAGAAATTGGGTCTTAATAGTAGTCCTTTTCTGGTTTGGGAAAACTCTAGTGTTCAAAGCAGGGTTTTTAGATTCCATCTCCCAAAATTCTCTGTTCTGGGATTTCCATCTGATACACTGACACGCAGTTACGTTTTGCTTTCATGGAGAAAGGCCTAGCTTGATGGTATTATGACCTAGCTTTGGCCTAGCTTCCTATTAAAAATGGAAGTTGCCATGGTGTTAGCTGGGAATTGAAGGCATCAGGTACAATGGAAGGCCTAATGTGAGGTGGATTGGATCAATAAAGAAAGCCATAGCTTTTAATTTGAAAAAACTGAGCAGGGCTTTTAATCATAGAAAAATTAGAGATAATTAATTCATAGGGTCACCATAAGTCGGGAGCAACTTGACAGCATGTAACAGCAAAAAAATTAACATTAAAGCTTTACCGGTAGTTTTATGTTGAGACTATGGTATTAACTGGGTGACTCTTGCAGCCATTTAGTTTTTGATACATCAGTGCATTCCCTTGCATGCATGCACAGTGTTGCACCACTATAAGAGTGAGTAATACCTTTTATTCAGCGTGGATAAAAATCAATTTGATTTAAATCAAAGATTTTTAAAATTTAAATTGTCAAAAATATTTTTAAAAAATCAAATCCATCGTGCTTTTATTGAATCAATTAAAAAAAATCAATCAAGCTGCAAGCTTTTATAGAGAAAAATTCCACTTCATCAGGCTAATTACAACCTCTTCAAGGATAGTGCTAAAAAATTAAAGACAAGAGTCCAGATTTTGATGATACATGTCTTTGAGAGGTGATGTCAGACCTCTTGAGGTTGTAGTCTCCCCCATTCTTACAGCATGGTTTGGAATTTTTGCACCCCTGTCTTAAGACCAAAAGGCTGCCAATAAAAAAGTATCACCCACTTTTATATTTGTGTAATTTTGTGGACCACACAGCTTTTTTTCTTGTTCTTTCTGTATTTGCACAGTATTCATGAACTTCACAGGTTTGGAACACAAATAGATGGAATACACTGGTGCGTTCGCCCAATGATTGTTTACATATGTCATATATATGTTTTTCTATGTGGTGTTTGGGCAAAAGTTTTCTTCTTTTCTGTGGAGCATAAAGTAGATACCCTCTCCCTTTGAAAGATTTAGTAGTTTGTTTTTAGGTCTTTAGATTGACAGGTCAGGGTATTTTGGTTATAGTAGTATGGCTACCTTCATCAGAGTAAGGAAATAGCTTCTAGTGTGGGCCTATTTAGTCTGCAGTCACTGAACTGTTGTGTATATCATGTCTGTTTCTGATACACCAAAGTTCTATATTGTTGTTGTTGTTTTATGGAGAAAATGGCCAAAGTTTCAGACCCTGCAAACTTCAAAAGTTTGAGGGTCCCAATTTTAATAATATGAATATCATTTTCATCATCCTATAATAAATATTTTAGGTTGATACTTATAGATTGACTAGCTGGGATGTATCTTTTCTAACTTATTAACCCTGCCTCCCCCACTACTACT